TTCATTTCGGCTGGTCGGAGTCTATATCACAGAGGACCTGATCTGGCACGAACACATCTCGTCAATAGCGGCAGCTGCTGAGAAAAAGCTAGGTAGGCTATTTGTTTAGGGCTAAGAAGTACTTTTCTCCGCACGACCTTCTCACTCTGTTCAAGTCTCAGATAAGGCCTAGCCTCGAGTATTGCTCACACGTTTGGGGTACTAACAAACAGTCTCTGGACCCTTTCGCACTGGCGGGTCGATCTAGCTCTCTTCTATCGCTGCACCAAAGGGCTTTGCTCCTCAGAGCTCTCTTTCTTGATGCCGCCACGCGATGTGCCTGCCAGACAGACCCGCCTGACTTTAGCCTCCCATCCTAACCGTATCCAACTTCGTATATCCAGAACTGGCCGATATGACGACTCCTTTGCCCCGAGTATATCGAGATTGTAGAACAATCTACAAGAGAAAGCTTTTCCCAGTTCTACTAACCTTAGGCAGTTCAAAAATCGGATTAACAAAATTTCTTTTTGATCATCAAAGCAGCCGCGGTGTCCCGGCATTTAGGCTTCTGCCTGCGCGGCTACTTCGGTATAAAAAAACAAATTATCCGACTTAATTAAATTGAATTTTCTGGAACCGATTTAATTGAAAGTGTATAATTAGGTTAGATAATTTAGTTTATGTAGAAAAGGTACATTTAAAACAATTAAACATCTCAATAAAAACAGTTAAACTGTTTACTTGAATCCCGACACGGCAGGACTCGGCCCTGCTTGTGTGAATGATCGGGAGTGTGCGACAGACGTAGTGCCGGTGACGCACTGTGTATAGGGAAACCGCTGCTGACGTGAAGAAATATGAAGAACTTTGAAATTTTATCTATGCACCATAGTTAGGTCAATGAAGAGCATTTATACTAAACATGTGCTCAACATAGGCTTTATATGATATTGAAGTGGAGCCTCCTGTTGGGTTGACTTTGTAGTATTTGAAAATATCATAGTTTGTGTAAAGAACTGTCGAATTTATCTATAAATGTAAATATGTTCAATGCGACTGAGGGCAATATTGTTTTATTATTAGAAATAAAAGAACAAGTTTTGTACAGATGATCAAGTGGCCTTATTCAGGTATCCCCATCTCTGCTTCCTGAATGTAAAACAACGAATTATTGCTTCTATAATAGTCGAAGGTGATATATTATAACCTGTCTCTGGACAAACCCACAAATAGTAAATTATTAAAACAGGACTCTCTTTTAACAAACCTGGTTATGCTTATTCGAAATATAAATATATATATATATAGAACTTGAGACGTGGTCATTGTCGTCTAGACCAGTTAGGTGAAAAAATTAAAGCTTCCGCCTTTTGTTGGGTACTTCGACATTTTATACTGCAATGTCTAGGTTGGCTCTTGTTGTGGACTTCGTGTGTCTTTTTTTCCTTTCCATCTTCGTTTCCTCAGGTTACACCCGTATCCGGATGTGTGGGCATGTGTATCTTCGTTTGTAGTTGCATATGTGCATTCATTTCGGGCCTGATGAAGCCAAACAGCAGAAATACGTATCGCTCGGGTTACCTATCCTATTTTCTGCTCGAATCCACTTTTTGCGGATTTTGCTCATTATTTTCCTATTTTTGTGATATATATATATACACGCAAATTTCCGTGTTTTTAACGCCTTCCCACACTAAAAAACGAACGACAATACGTTGCGCAACGGCGGTCGGCACTTGACCTTCACTCATGGTCGTTAGCACGCGCGTGAAACAGGCGCTCCCGACGAAAGCTGTGCCACACTGTTCGTAACGGACCCAGCTATCGCATACTCAAGCCACGACCTTTAAGACATACATGCGCGCCATCTACAGCATTTGTCTCCATCATATCTGAACCGCCCTCGTATAAAGGGAGGGCTAGCAATGCGGTCATACGCTGCACAGGGAAATCTATGACGAGTGAAATATGTCTAATATGCGTGTCGCATAACCGGGATTGGAAGTGTATTAATATACTAAACTAACATCAATAAAATACGATACACCTTTCCCCACTCCCACTTCATTTACCCAGAATTTTTTTTCTAAAATGATCAGGACCCTCTGAAATGTCATAAATCGAACTTTTTGCCGTTTTTTTCGTTTTTCTTATTTTTCCTCGCAGTCATTGGACCGATTTTCAAAAACTCATACCTAAACATTTTAGACATTGGCATAGTAGTAGCCTTGTGTAAAAAAACGCTTCTAAGATAATAGGAAAATGCTTGATCATATAATTCTTATTGATGAGGGATGTTAAATCAGAAATAGATTAATACGAATATACAGGGTTTATCCGGAAAGTAATAGGTCTGAGTCGATTTAAAAGAATTGATTGAGCCAATCGTTACAATTCTTTAAAAACTTTCAAAATAGGCTCCTTCTGCGTGGATGCAGCGCTGCCAGCGCGATTTCCAAGCCTTGAGAGCCGCGGTGCATGCTGCTTGGATCCCCTCTGTCGTCTTAAAATGCTTGCCTTTCATCGGCATTTTCAGGCGAGGAAACAAAAAAAAGTCCGGGGGGCCACATCTGGGCTATAGGGCGGCTGCGGAAGCGTTGGGATGCCGGCCTTGGTCAGGTAGCTGTTCACAAGAAAGGCGGTGTGAGCCGGGGCGTTGTCGTGGTGCAACTTCCAGTCGGCTGCGATGTCTTGTCGGACCCGACTGACCCTTCGTTTGAGTCTTCTGAGCACTTCCACGTAAAACTTGGCGTTGACGGTTTGTCCAGGAGGAACAAATTCATGGTGGACGATGCCTTTGATGTCAAAAAAGACAATGAGCATCGTTTTCACATTGGATTTGCTCATTCTTCCCTTTTTGGGGCGAGGAGACGCCGTCGTGTGCCACTGGCCACTCGGAAGATTGCCTCTTTGCCTCGGGATCATAGTCAAAGATCCGCGACTCGTCACCTGTGATTATGTTATTGAAAAATTGGGGGTCACTTTCACACATGTTCATATTTTCTTGGCACACTTCCACTCGTCGCCATTTGTGGTCGTCAGTGAGCACTTTTAGGACCATCTTCGCGCACACCTTGCGCATCTTCAAATGCTGTGTCACAATGTCATGAACTACAGATTTTGGCAAATTTAACATCTGGGCAATTAAACGAATACTTAGTCGACGGTCTGAGTTCAAAACTTTGCGCACACGAGTCACATTATCGGTGTTTGTCGAAGTCGAAGGTCTGGTCTGGTGCCACCTGGGTAAGCCTGCTTGATCATATCAAACGTCTCTGTCACAGATTTACCGAGTTTCACACAGAATTTAATCGCGTACCTCTGCTCCAACGAACGCTGCATTTTCGGCTTGCACCACTCACAGAAACACGTCGCGCGAAAATGTCTGTCCTGACTCTCGAAGTACTCGGAGACAACTGACCAGCCGCTCATTCGTTAGCTAGGAACGCCCTCTACCGGATCCAGTCGGTGCGCGCACGCTCCGAAGTACAGTCATGGCGGAAGAAAATGAGTCCTATTACTTTCCGGACAAACCCTGTATATTATTTTTTTAAAGTGTTCTACTTCCCGCGCCAATCGGCAAGGAAGTACCGTGATCGTGAAAAGTTTCAAAAGCAATATAAGTTATGTAAGATGTGTATCACGCAAAACTCTTTTGTTTTTGTCGGGTTTATTTGTCTGTCTGCGATCTGTCCGGTTATATCCTATATAACTAGCAGAAAGTACTGCTCTAATTTTGCTAAATATTTTACACAATGTACGGAAGCAAAAACTCAAAATCGCACCCTTTGGTTTCGTTCGGGGTTGAAGTAAAAAAATCAGGAGTCAACCTTATTGTAAAACCTGGAACGTTTACTTCCCACTCTGCTGGCGAGGCGCTAGGAATTTCAAAAATGTGATAATACGTTTTTTTGATGTTACATCACGAGAAATCATCTCACTCATTTGTACCGGAATTTGTAACCGCTAATTCTTGACCCGTCTATATAATTTGCAAAGTACTACTCGAAATTTTGACACTATTCCACGAACATAAAAGCATGGTGTAGTTACTTCGTTTTTTGATGATTCAGAGTCATTTTTGAAAAATTGTTTTCGGGCAAAAAGATTTGAGATTTGAGGGTGGGGAGTTATACATGGTAGGGTGTAAGTTGTATCTCATTTTTTGGAGAAAGAATAATTATACGTTTCTAACCTCGGTAATTCATACATATTTGCATTAAGAGAGAACAAACTAAAAGATAACCTTGTTGCAAGCGAGGCTGGGTCCGATTAGACATTGACAAGAAGAAACTTTTGATTATATATTTCCGCAAACATTTTTCCAGAGCGGTGAAGAATTTTTTTCAGGGGAGCTAAATCCTAAATATCGCGCACAAAACTATCCTAAATATGCAATTTTTTTATGGCAGCAGGGATCCATATTCTATGAGCAGTGACAGCATAGCGGGGAAAGAATGTCCATCTACGCCATTTCTAATGACTTTAGGGTTCAGTAAAAAATTCTCACTTTCGATTTATTAGGCTAAAAACTTCTCGATCCTCGAGAATTGAAAAAGCTACAATCGTATATAGAAAGAGCCGTAAAAAGCAACGCGACTTTTTTCGTTTTTCGGAGCTCAAATTGCCACTCTCGTATGGATCGGTATCACTATAAGGTATCGGTCTCGTAGGTGGTATATGGTCTCTGGCAGTAGAACGCGGAGGTACCACCCAGTGGATCTCGAATGGGGGGCCATGCTGCATGCACACATATTCCCTTGCTAGAGTCCGTGTGGCATTCCCCCCCTTTCCCCTGTATCCCCGAATAGCCCCACATTACCCCATGGGTGTTTAGGCCTTAGGCCTTCGTGGCGGCTGGAGTATAAAAAAGAGAATCACCATTTTTTATTCAAGTTCTATGAAAAGGTTGCATTGGTGTACTTTTCGGAAAAAGTCATTCATCTTTTGCTATTCTGGACAATCTAATCAAAACACTTGAAAGGAGATAAAAACTAACGAAATATCTGATTAATATTTTATTTTATAACGAATTACAATAATAATAATAGTAATAATAATAATAATAATCAAAGACCCAAAAAAGGTTTGGTATATACAATTATTTGTTAGAATAAATAAACCATGAACTCTAGCTTTCTAAAAGTTCTAAAAGTTCTCGATCATTCACCTGATTGTCAATTTGCTGACACTCTTCATAATTTTCACTCTTGATCATTTTCTTAACAACATCTTGGAGGATAGTTTTCAGCCCACATTCACACACCTCGTCCCGTTTTTCTGGACGAGAAATCTGCAAAAAAATTTTAAGAAATAAAAAGTTTTTTCATGAAAAAAACTTTTTCTATTCATTGACAGAGCGTTCGATAAAAGGAGATCTAACCTTTATACTCAACCTTTACCCATGTTGATTACGCGATCTAAAAAATGCGATCCATACTAATTGAATTAAAAATGCATATTGCTATAACTGCATGTCAAGAGCATCATTGTTAATTGTAAAAAGTCAGAAGTGCTAAAGATACCGAAGCAACTGCTGTCAAAAATAGAAATGTCATGATTTTGTAACTGTTCAGTATGTACAAAAGTAGTGAAACAGTATCAGGCAAGACCTGTGTAAGAAATTAGGAGGAGATAGTGTTATTTCGAGAGATTATAGTTTCTCAACACTGAGGAATTTTTGTTTGTGCATTGCTGTGCCTTTGGGATAGAAATAGTTTGTTATGCGAGTAGTCAATAGCTAATTCGGCATCAGAAGAGGTATACTGAAAGAGAGCGTTGGATGTCCGAGTTCAAATGGCAATGTTCGAGTGATAATACTGAAGAACTAGCGCAATACGAGTATTAGCATGCTAACGCAATGTCGTTCATTGTGGAAAATCGAACAGCTGAAAAATGGTTGGTTCATCGTTTCATATAAATGACAACCTTCAAAATGCCATGTGTCATATATTAACTGAATGTTTATGCCGTTCGTTTTATGTAGCAACTTGTGCCACATACATTTGTTCATAGGACTCTATTGTCTGCCCGAATGCAACCACAATATGTTTAAATTTCTGTTTATTGAACGACGTTTAAATCACCAATGCGGTCTTTTTCAAGTACGATTGATTATTGTGACAATATATTTTGTTATCTGTCTTCTAGGTGGTATTTCGTTTCTTTTTCCTTTTCATATTACTAGTTAGTCTGAACAGTTATACATTTGTTATTTTTAGGTAAGTCCTAGATATACAGGGTTATCCAAATTAAGTGTCTCACCATTAGTAACTTTGTTATTAGTGAAAATACAAAGTTGTTTGAATTAGCAAACTAGTAGCATTTTTAACGCTGGTAAAAATGAGAAATAAAAAAAAACAATTGAGAGTCGTTATTTTGATTTTTTTCAGTAAAATAACATTTTTTTAAATGGAAACCCCTGTATATTATATTTTTTTCTGTTAAAGCATCAAATTTTAAACAAAAAAGCTTACAATAACTTTTCTCCTAGGTTACAAATTGTTGAAGTTATGGCCTCCAATCTGAAACAATTAAATTGTATCGACAAACTTTATTTTCAACATCAACTTATAATCTTACAAAATACAATAACAATTTTTTTTAAAGAAGATGCTCGAAAACACCACCTTGTTCTTCAATACATTTTTGGGCACGTTTTTCAACTGCTCGAACTGTCTTAAGTATGGTCCTACCATCTATCTGGGTTATCTTTTCCCTAACTGCAGTCTTTAACGCGTCAAGGTTATCGTACCTTCGCTTGTAAATTTGGTTCTTTAAGTAACCCCACAAGAAGTAATCAAGTGGGTTTAGATCTGGTGATCTGGGAGGCCACTGTATTGGGCCATTTGTTCCTATCCACTGATCATTAAAAGTAGTACTTAGAAAATGATAAGTACCTCTGGAGTTGTGGGCAGGTGCGCCATCTTGCTGAAAATGCAGATGATGTCTACTTATAAGATCCAATTCGTCTAAGAAATTAGTCAGAATTTCTGACATAAATTCCACATATCTTTCACCAGTTAGGGTTCCCTCATAAAAGAACGGGCCAACAATTTTTGAACCAATTATACCGCACCAAACGTTGAAACTGAAACGGACTTGTGGGCCTCTTGGATGTACTAACAAAAGATTTTCTCTTGACCAATAATGGTGGTTTTTTCTATTAAACATTCCAGAATTTGAAAAATTTGATTCATCTGTCCATAAAAGGTAACGAAAGTTATTTACATTTTGGCGACAGAAGCTAAGATACCAATGGCAAAAAACAAGTCTTCTCTCTGGATCCCCTGCCAAAAGCGTTTGAACTGGTCGGTACTTATACGGAATAAATTTGTATTTTTTTAAAATCCTTTGAACAGTACCATAACTGAAATTAGAGTCCTTGAGAATATCTGCTATTGAATTCTCACGATAAGCTTCAAAATATCCAATAACTGCAATTTCCGTGGCCTCGCTTATTATGAATTCTTTTTTTGCCCTTGTTTTAGCAAAAACATTTTCGTTGCCCCTAAATTTTCGATAGTCTCAGAAAATATCGTTCATACGGTTGAATGCGAGCGGGATATAATTCACTGTATATTCTCTTGCCTTGCTCTCAAGGAGGATTTTCTGCACACTAAATAGCATTCTAACATATCACACTTTTCTTCATGGGAGAACATTTTTCTTTAAATTAATGACACAATAAAGCTTATAAACAAGTATTTACACTAATGTTTGACATTATTTGATTTTATCATTGTTTTCCAAAGCCTTCTAGTTGCGAGTATGTCCAGTTTAACAATTTGTCGCTTATATTAATGCTGTCAAATCGCGAACGCCATGTTGTTTTCATAGACGTCTTAATATTATAATACTGCAAATAATTAAAAATATTTATCGTTATTTTGACTTTATTTTTGACTGTAGCGGAAAAGTCATTATGAACTTTTTTGTTTAAAATTTGATGCTTTAACAAAAAAAAAATATAATATACAGGGGTTTCCATTTAAAAAAATGTTATTTTACTGAAAAAAATCAAAATAACGACTCTCAATTGTTTTTTTTTATTTCTCATTTTTACCAGCGTTAAAAATGCTACTAGTTTGCTAATTCAAACAACTTTGTATTTTCACTAATAACAAAGTTACTAATGGTGGACACTTAATTTGGATAACCCTGTATACTAAGTGACATATAAGTCCGAACATCCAGATTAAATGGTTTTATTTTAATAAAATTTTGTATAAGTACTTAACGAAGCATAATAAGTAAATGATAAAAATTTCAAAATGATTGCACTGCTTTAAAGCCCTTTGACCTTTAATAATGTGTGGATGCACCCTGATGTGCTACGCATTCTCCAACGCGCCTAGGCATGCTTCTGATCAGGTGGTCAATGTCCTCCTGTGGTACATCATTCCAGGCAACCACCAACTCCTCTCGAAGTGCTTCTAGAGTCTGAAGAGGACGTTGCAAATTGAGCAATCTCCTACCCATCATATCCCACACGTGCTCAATTGGGGATAAGTCGGGAGATCTTGGTGGCCATGATAACAATGTGACATCATTATGTTGAAAGAAGTCTATTGTGACTATTGCAACATGTGGTCGGGCATTATCTTGTTGGAAAGTTGGATCTGCCAGGGTGTCAAGATAGGGTAAAAGATGGGGTTCTAGAACTTCGTGGATATAACGCTGCGCGTTCATATTACCTCTGATGAAGATTAAAGGTGACCTGGAACCATAAGCTATAGCATCCCAAACCATAACTCCAACAGTGTGATGAACATGTCTTTCAACAAAAAACTGTGGATTCCTCCTTTCACCACGTCGCCTTCTAACCCTGGCACGACCATCGTGCATGCCTAAACAAAATCGAGACTCGTCACTAAAGACAATACTGTTCCATTCCTGATCCCATAGTGACCGTTGTCTGCACCACTCAAGGCGATTACGTCGGTGTTCTCGAGTTAAAGGGAGGACCCAGTGTGGCCGGTATGAAAACAAGCCAAAACTTCTCATTCGTCGGTAAACGCTTCGCATGCCAACAGGTCTTCCGTGTTCTTCAAACCATTCATTTGCAATAGACCTGGTAGTGGAGAAACGGTCACTTAAGGCCAATAATCTTGGGCGGCGATCTTCACGGTCTGTTGTTCTACGGCGGCGTCCAGTGCCCCTTGCTCTTTGCGTACGGCCTTCTCGAAGCCATGCCTGACAACACCTAACCACAGTGTCTACACTTCTTTGAACTCTAACTGCAATTGCCCGAAAAGAAAGTCCAGCTTCCCGAAGTCCCACTATACGGCCCCTATCAAACTCACTAAGTTGACGAAATCGTACAGGTCTCCGTACTCTAGGCATCGTAACCGATCGTAAAGGATGTCAAGAACCAAAATCCGCCAACATTGATTCTTTACTGCGGCTGAAATATTCATTTTTAGAGCGTTAGTGAATTAAAAGCAGTATAAAAACCGGAATGTCCAACTGATAAGGCTGAAAATTTTTTCACTTGTTATTTACAGTAAGATAAATACATTCCACCAACTTTTATTAACATAAAACCATTTAAACTGGGTGTTCGGATTTATATGTCGCTTAGTATACTTATAAAGCAAAAAATGGCGCATTTAAAAAAGGCCAATACGAAATGACCAGTAGAAGGTGCACTCGCAGACAAACCTTTGAACGGACCTCTTAAGATGCTGACATTTTTCTACGAACTCGGATCCTTTTTTTTTTTAGTTGCCTCACTTGAAGGGGTCCCGCACTTTTTTATTGCTTTATACAGGGTAGTGCTAACGTACTTTGCCGCACGTACGGAATAGGTAAATACTCTAAAAAATGTTTGTAATGGATCGAGTAGTTGTATTTATACAGGGTGATACATGTCACTATTGTCTTTATAATATATCGTTTTTAGCCTCTACGTTACTAATCGGCGATGTTTCACCTGTCGTATTGTCCGCTTTATCATTACGTTACCTCAGTAACCACTACGTCGATTTTGTCAAAACTTGGAATATACTGTATGGTCACAAATTTGAAAATGGATGTAAGGATGCCATCTATCAGACCATAGTCGACCACTGCGGAAAGCGCATAGCTGCTATTAGTTGAAATTGTAAGGGATCCTAGCACATGTTAAATAGCAAAATCGACATGTGGTCGCCAGATGGTTGACGATCCGTGTTGAAAAGTAGATATGGTCTACTTGCGATTGAACAAACCAAACATGATGCTTTCGTCCGTCCGACCAGATACACAGCCAACCAGGGGCAGCTTTTTCGTGCTTCTTCGCTACTCATCAACATAGTCTAGTCTTTTGTCTCTGGACGATCGAAAGCATCGCAACTATCCTCTATAAGAGTTGTCGAAGACATATTTTCATATGGCCTTAGGCGTACAATTATTACTGAAACGCGAAACAATTCGTATACTGGCGGTATTTTTACCAAGTATTTGACACGGCTTTTTTATCTAGGACTATTGACCCGTGTCTATCGGACCACAAAGCTGTGGTGGTTTTATGAAAATATGGTGCTCTCGATTGATACAAGGTCAGGGTCAACTATCGCCCAAAAACTGGTAGAGGTTTAATGCTACTTTACAAGGCTATAGAGGCATACTACTGGTCGTTTACTCATGATAACATGCTGTCATCTAGTGCTAAACTGAATCATCTCATCGGCGCAATTCCCGACTGATAGCACTTAACGAAAGAAGACATTATGAAGCCAACTGGTTTACAGATGAAGTAAGTCGATGCAGATATTGTTTACACTTCCTGACGAGAATAAGTAAAATAAAACCGAACGTTTTCTCCAACCGTGGTCTTCAGAAATTTAGAAATGTCTATCCAGGTGTAATATAAAAAGCTAAAAAGGATGCTAATGATTCACACTAAAGGGGGCTGGTTACATACAAAAAGCTATTGGGATGTTATCAAGAACATCACAAAATTGCGATCTCTTAACTACTCACAACACATATCAATCAGTAAACGATTTCAACTTCCATTTCGTCGAAATAGCAAACAAAATTTTGTCTAAAATAACACCATCGTATATGTCTCAGTATAGTCTATATAATATCAGTACCACCAACTTAACTTTATCTTTCAGGTAGACCACTATTATTGAATTAAGGGATATAATAACTGCATGCAAGGATGCCTACAATCTGAATATTGAAATCATTAAAACAATTAAGAACCTTATTTTCTCTTCCCCGATTCCCTGAAAATTTCTAAAGTAGTACCTATACATAAGAAGGGTGATGTGGATGATCTTGACAACTATCACCCTATTTCAATCGTGCCTATATTTTATAAGATCTTTGAAACCATCTTAAATAAATAGATGCTGTTTTATTTCAAAACCAATGACTTGTTTAGTGACAGTTTGGATTCAGGAAGGGCAAATCTACAACACTAGCTGTAGTGCAACTTGTGGTGAAGTATGTTCAGAGTTGTTGCAAGGGCAACATTTTATGACCTCATGAAAGCCTCTTATTGTGTGTCTAATAGACTCCTCATTAAAAAGGTGGCTAAGTACCGCTCTGATCATGGAAGCCTTGAACTTGTTACATCTTATCTTAGTGACAGAAAGCAGTACGTCGGCTTACATACATACTCATATGACTTATGGGGTGTTACTGTGGGGTCACTCAGCCATCTCCTCAGAAGTGTTTGCTGCCCAGAGATAATGCATCAAGGTCATCACGAACACGCCCTGTATTTTTATCTTTTGAATGAGTCTGATGTGTTTTATTTAGTATTAATGCTGAGTGTGTACTTTTTTGTGCACTGTAAGTTTTTCATTTTTCTAAGCACGTGGGTGCTTTTGTATGCCCAATATCAATAAAGATTATTGTTATTTTCATTATTATTGTTATACCGGAGGTACGGTCTATCGAAATAAGAGCCATCTATCATATCTTTTTGGTGGGATGGACGAAAATATGGTTAAAAAACAAATGCTTTTTTAAACTGCCTTATCTGTAGTTAGGTGAAAAACTGAAATAAAGAACAGAAAATAACATGAAAGAAATAAGGCTTGTATACACTACAAAGGATATGGTATCAATGCCACTACAGAAGGTGTAGCATTGCTAACTTTCCTAATCAAATATATAGAGCAAATTAGTAAAATACACCGTTCGTCCGTCCGACCACGCACAACTGTTCCGTACTATTTGGCAACTGCTGAGCATGGTGTAGGATTGGTCTCCGGTAGGACAATGACCGAAAGCGGAGCAACCATCCTATATCTATAGTATGAGGTTTATCAAAATAAGACAGCACAAAGTGCCATCTGTTACCCGAATTGACCATTGCGAATTGTGTTCGCTATCGCAGTGGTCGATTCTGATAACAGCTGGCACTTTGTTCTATCTTATTTCGATAGTTCTATAGATGAGTAAATGTTTTCAATTCAGAATTAACTTTATGTGTCCTAGTAGTGACTTTATCCCGGTTGACATATTAGAATTGACACTAAATGTGGACTTCGTATAAAGTGAAATAAAATGATCGGCAGAAAATTGTTTGCAAGACCTTAGTTTTCAGTCGTTTTCCTACGTTGTCTACACAAGAAAGCTCAACAAAGATCTTTGTAAATACTTCCTCCAATTTCGTAACATATTCAAAGAATTTCCGAAACGGCACTATCAAGCCTCCAAATTGATTATGGGTTATTTTGGAAATTATCCCTTTTGGTTACTTAGTATCGCTTTCTTAGGATGGCGCTGCCACAAATATAATTCCTCCTCCTGTAGTGAACTAAAAATTTGTCTGACATTTGAGGGTCGAGTCGTGTAGGGCAGTAGGTCTGCCAGGTCTGGTTACTCAGATATCAAACAAGAATATAGAAGTGAATCTAAAATCATTGAAAATAGTTATTTGAGATTTTTCTTATCGTGGAAACAAATCAAATTAAGTTACAGCTAACATTGCACGATTCAATTTTGTGCATACAATGATCTTGTGTAATTTCCAGCTTGCTCGACTGTGTCATATGAATTCCGCTCGACTAAAAATAATGGTAATGGAATTATTTTACTCTCTCAATTTCAAAATGTACAGCCACTTACTAATTCAAAACTAATTATAAAAAAGGAATCACTTACCTTTTTCAATAAACAAGTCATAATTTCCTCTTCAGCTTCGCCTTTACTAATTGTACGTTGTAATTCGGATTTCAGGCGGTCCCTTTCCGTTTCTGCAACAACTAGGGCATTTTTCATAGACGTTAACTGTTGTTCCAATTTTGATATTGTCTCCTGATGAAAGTAAAGTTATACAAATTTTATAACACTTGATTTAATACATGATTGGCGTGCTACTGAATACAAAAAACTAAAATTAATATTTTCGAGCCAGTCCGACCCTGTTGAACTTAACAAGCCAGATAACTTTATGCAGCTCTTCAAGCCATTCTGATATTACTAATAAAGGTTAGATATACAAGAATATCATACAATTCTTTTGGACAAAATGTTTGAACTATGGAATGGAAATAAATTTTCAATTATTTCTATTAAAAATAAAAAAACTGGTAAAAAAATCCATTATGATCTGATGAAAACATTACACACAATTTGATCATGTTACCTTGTAAAATAAAACATTTGTGTAAAAAGCATTAACAAGAGTTATTATTACCTCAAAAGATGCTTGTCAAAGGATTAGAGAGAAGTAACAACTTGATAATATAATTATAAAATTCCTATAAATAAACAATGACACATTAATTCTAACATTGATTAAAATCGTTTCATAAGCTACAGTTTAAATTCTTATTTTTTCAATTCCAATTTTGACAAAATTTTGATGTAATATAATAATAGTGGCATTTTTTCTTTTTTAAGGTGGAGATGTAAATTATTACCTGTTGGTTGTCCAACTTGTCTTGCAAAGGAGTTAGGTCAACGAAATACTTTTTCTTCTCCCTTTCATGGAATATTTGTGCGGCAGCCAGCTGAAACGAAACTAAATATTTTGAAAACTGTTATTAACTGTTAACAAAAAAAGTCAATGTAACATCTGAAACTTGCCCTGCAGAACTGAAAGATTTACTAACGACTTGGAGTCATCAGGAAAAAATCAATTTTCATCAGTGAGACTCCAGCATTTATAGTTTAAGATCCCAGGGTTGCCAGATATTCCAACAAAACATGGGACAATGAAGACCGTTTATATCTAATTTTATGGCCTGCATACATATCGAGTATAGTGCCGACTTACTGGTACTAGGTGAGGAAGTTTAAGTAAAAATTAAGACCAACTTAAATTCTAATGACTTATTTATATACTTTATAAGACATTATTACAATACAATGATATTCAGTACTGCAAGCACTTCCCGGCAGCCATAACTTCTGTCAGATAATTTAAACAAGGTGATCCCCTATAAATTGTCCTCTCTCTAACTTGTCTGGACTACGATTTAGAAAATAAAAATTATAAGGTTTAATATGAAGTTTTTTTGATACTTTTTTTTGTATGAAGGATCTCTCAGAAAATTCCTACTGAATAGGTTGTGTTTTTTTAAACGGGTCACTTTATTCGATAGCAACGACATCCAATAAAAGAAAAATAACATTTTTAACGTTCATCCAAAAAAGTTAGATGGGCGTTAGTTTATAGTATGACAGCTTTAAACCGCCTGGTAGAAGTTATAATCGACGGTAAGCGTTTGGCAGCACTGAATATTACTTTCAAAGTATATATAATAATCGACCATCACAATTCAAGTCAAGTTTATTATAAAGACTTATTTTTACTTAACCTTTCTCACCTTGTATCAGTAAATCAGCCATCGACCCAGCTCAGCAGGTAGGCAGACGTTGAAAGTACACAGAAACGCTCCACGTTTTAGCTTCCAAAAAATAAGTAACGTCTCGCAGCCCTGAAATATTGGACTATTATAAGACACGCACTTATTCCTACAACCGATATTGAAGTTTGTCCATTTGTTAAGGATGTTTTCTAGACTGCTATCATATTTACCGGATTATAAGTTCTATCTTAAATCTATACTAACGTCACGTAGCCTTTTTTCCACTAACGCCTCGTAATCTTCTTCAAGGCATTTCAACTTCTCTTCCAATCTACCTCTTTCTAGCTGCACATCTTCCAAATCTTCCCCTTCACTAGACTCTTCTGTTAATTTTAGTTTTTGTGGCAGTGTCTTTGAAGAGCCGCCAACACTTTTTCTTTTACGTACATTTCTCGACTTGTGTGATAGAACCCCCACCTGAAATAAGAAGAATGTAATTTAGAAACTACTAGTGGCTAGACATATCCACAGTGTATCCAGAGCCCTTACTTAGCAAAAGTCGTCCATCATTAATAGCATGGCATTTCAAAATAAAAAAGTAATAGCTAAAAAAAATGTCAATACGTTTGCTGAGAATAGACATTTAAAGTCTTGAAAATTGGAGTTCTAAATTCAAAACATTTTGTTTTCATTAGAAAGTGTATATCTACATGCTTATGACTTAATACCTTATCAACCTGTTCATTTATTCTTGGTGATAAAGCTACAGCCCCTATTTCATTTTCTGAATCACTTCGAGACTCTGCTTCATTTTTAATGATTTTATCTTCTCTAGTACTAATTCCACATTTAGAGGTTTGGCTTAAGCTTTCTTCATTAAGCAATGTTTCTGTATCCAATATTTTCTTACTTCTGTATGTCTTCATAAAGCCTACCTTTGGAAGATTTTTGGAAGGAACTACGAAAGGTTTAAGTCTTGGCTTCCGTTTACCTTCAGGACCTAATAAAAAAATATTGTTCTTGAGTTTTATGCGGTTTTACCATTGATTAACATATTCCACCAGAAGATATACACAATCTAATTGGAGGCAGTGCCAACGAGAAAATGATATGTACTATGGTGCGACCACCACCAATAAATGATAACTTTTATTACTCATGGTATCTAAAAAGTTATATGCAAAAATTGTAGCCATAGTACGTGGTATAGTCACCAATATGCTTGTATATGCTGGTATAGACAGTGCCATCTCTGAGTTAATAGTACTTTCAAAATATATTTTAGTAAATAGAGAAACAGCTGTGTTAAATTCCGACGTTACAGTATGTCATTTTATGTCGGATAATTCTTTGAAGCTGCAATACGTTAATCAAATCTGAGTACACAAAACCTTGGGAATAATTACGACGGAGTAATAGTAGTGGTGGAGAGGCGAATCCTGTTAAGTAGGTCACCTTTTGCCCTTTTTGCTGACTCTGAGTTTACCAATACACATACTTATCCACTAATCTATCGAACCTTACTGATCTCCTAAAGACGGCCAGGATGTCCGATCACTCTGCAATCAAACCCCGTGGCTCCTAATATCGTAGCACTTATGCTGCAATATTCGGCGAACGCTATCTTATCCTCTTCTCAGCGCATGGGGCACATAGAAGCTTTTTTCACGCTTAGAAGGGACAAGTGACTGTTCAGTCTACAGTTGCCCATGAGAACCCAGAACAAAAGACTGAGCGATTCTCTAGGTTTATTCAGCAGCCAGCGCGTTGAGCTGGTGCCCGATATACCCAATCTAGGCACGGAACAGATGCAGGAGCCCCTGCCACCCACCACCTCACTCCCCCTCAAGCTAGTCAGACAATTAGCTCTATCATTATCCGGTAGTACATTGTGCCCGGGAGCCCAAAACTTGTTTAAATCGGGCTAAGCTCTGAAGCAGGGTTCGGAGGATATATACAGCGTGACACAAAAGTCCCGGAACGGCTTTGTATTTTCTCGGGTAAGGTATTTTTGATAAAAATCAAGGTCAGGTCTTCAGTAACTTCCAGCAAACAATTCAATGGAGACCTTTAATTTGACCTTGACCTTCACCGTCAAGGTTAATTTAAGGTCAACTTCATTTTTTAAAACTGAAAGGTTAATCCAAGGTAAACTTTATTTTTTTAAATTGAAACCCCTATTTTAGATTCCGGCAATCGAAAGAACAGAACATTTTACCTTTAAGCACATTTAGAGTCCAAGGTCAGGATAACTACTAAAGGTCAAATGAAGATCAAATGTTTGCTGCTAGAAAAAATTCTATTTATCTCACAGGGTGAGTAATGAAAATCACTATCAAGGTCAGGTCTTTGGTAACTTTTAACGAGGAAGTGAACGCTGACCTTGGATTTGACCTTCGCCTTCAAATTGCAACTCAAGTTTTGTTAATGAAAATCTCTATTTTTGATGCCTTCAACCGAAAGAGCGGGACACCTACGGTTGACTTTCAGCAAGGGATTCAACGGAGATCTTGAATTTAAAAATGAAATAACAGAAAATTTTACGTCCAATCACATTCAAAGTCTAAGGTCAGGATGAATACTAAAGGTCAAATGAAGATCAAATATGTGCTGGTAGGAAAACCTCTATAAATCTCACAGGATAAGCGATGAAAATAGCTATCAAGGTCAGGTCTGTAGTGAATTTTGAAGAGTGATCTTGGATTTGACCTTAAACTGCTTCTCCAAGGTCATTTTTTTTCAAATATAAACTTGCAGGAACAGTATCGGTGAAAGTCATTTGTAACGAGCAGCGTAGTTCTCATTTGTAACGAGCACCATAGTTCCTTCGCTAAAACTTACCCAAAGAGCTGAACTTGCCAGTTATTTTCGTCACTATTTATGTGAGGTTTCTAGAAGTTTTCCTAGCAGCATATATTTGGCCTTTATGTGACCTCTAGTGGTCATCTTGACCTTGAATTCTAATACACATTTGAACATAAAATTTCCGGCTCTGGATTGTCGGCATCAAATGGGCGTTTCTATTCGGGACAATAGAGTTGATCTTGAAATGACCTTGAAAATGAGGTTCAAGGTCAAATCCAAGATAATGTGAAAATTTCCTAAAGACCCGATATTTTCAACAGCGAGATTGCTAGGTTTTCTTGGCAGCACATATTTGACCTTTATTGGCCTATTTCACATCCAGCAGTCATCTTGATCTTGAATTTCAATATATATATTCGAATGTAAAATTTCTCGCTCTTCCGATTGCCGGCACCAAAAATAGGGGTTTCCATTAAAAAATATAACGAGGAAACTACGGTGCTTGTTACAAATGATTTTTAACCGATACTGCTTCTGCGGGTTTTTATTTGAAAAAAAAACGACCTCCATATGGCCAAGCTCAAATCTAAGATCAGTTGTGAAAATTTACTAAAGAACTGACCTTGATAATTATTTTCATCACTAATCCTTTAATTGTGGTCAAACGTAGAATTGTCTGTTCTTTCGATTGCAGGCATCAAAAATAGGGGTTTCCATTTGAAAAAATAAAGTTGACCATGAATTAACTTTGAAGGTGAAGGTCAAGGTCAAACTCAAGGTCACTGTTGAATTCCTTGCTGAAAGTTACTGAAGACCTTACCTTAATCTTTTCCAAAAATACCTTACCTAGGAAGATACAGTGCCGTTCCGAGACTTTTGTGTCACGCTGTATATCATGATATAGCTTAATTTATTAATTTTATTTGTTAGAATTAGATATGTATCAGTTGTTCAGCGAGCATCGCCGACCAGGGGAATTCGCATTTTCAGATATGGTGTATCTCCGGCGAGTGGTGCGTTGACTTGGTTTGTTATGTGCTTTATTGTACATTTCCCGCTGTGCTGACTGTTGAGTTAATAGTAATTAAAATAAGCCAAAACCAAATCATTCATTTTGGCGATATTTTGAATGCATAATTTAAAAAGAAAGTGAGTATTGGGAAATGGGCAAAATCTCGTGAGTGCTCTCCGAATAGAGAAACACATACTAACACACCAAAAAAATATATACAGTGATATGTCACGGGATGAAAGATCCTGAAGATATGCTGCGCTGCACTCCACTTCTACTTCATTATTTTAGAGAAATATAATAAAATTTGTTTATATTAATATTTTTTCCAGAGAGTTTAATTTGTTACAGAGAGGAAATGTACAAAAAATGCTTTCCAACATATCGACATACTTCAATATAGATGTTCAGCTCATATTTTGAATTTGTTGGCCAAATATTTAGAAATTCCTTCGAACATTTTAAAAGTCAAAATGTTTCTAGAACAAACACGTACGTACCATCTGGACTCTACAGTGAAGCTGGGGGCAAAATACTGTTTATGCCTTTGGAAATTCGGTGAAACACAATGGGTTCTTTTTATACAATAGAGCAGGGCTGTCCAAAATACGGCCCCCGAACTCTTTTCTTGCGGCCCGCCTCACGGGTCATGTATACATCACATGTATAAATTACTCTCAAATATAGTATAGTATATACCTATGAAAACTCAGTAATAATGTTGTATAGAAAGATTTTATAATGCGGCCCTCCAAACTGCATTTTTTTTTCAAGTGGCCCTTGGGCCAAATTAAGTTGGACAGTCCTGCAATAGAGGATGGTTTGTTATGTCAAGATCATAAAAATGTAATTGAAAGTGATTAAATAAAAATTGTGAATGATGCCCAGATAGCATGAAATGCCACCGATTTAATTGCTCTCCTAGATTCAATAGCCTTAGCTCTTGATAGCGTTCAAAGTGACAATACTACCATATCTGTATGTGTGGAGATATGGCATAAGTTAGAAATGAATTTGTCTGGACCACTTCCAATTAGAAAAAGTTTTTTCAAAAGAACAAATATGGGCATGCATTATTTAGCAAACATCATGGATCACTGATTTTTGGGACTTTTGGATCTAACTTCCACTCAAAAAGGAGAAGCTTTTGAGTACTTAAACAATATTAACAGTTCAATTGTTATGGCTCTTTCATCAAAAGTAAGCCCATTTCCAAAGTACTTTTTTGGCGACCATTTTAAGCTTACTCTCCCAATAACGTGGCGGAAATCAGTTCCTGTATTGGACTTAAAATGCTGTGAACAGTTGCACACTGCTCACTGCAGTTGTATTTATGGCAGGCATCTTTTGGTTTAGTCCAATCTGATTTACAAAATCGCTTAGGAAACCAAAAAGCCAGTAAATTGGCCTTTATACTTAAGTACATTAAGCAAAATACAGACAAAAAGAAAAACAATCTTGAATGGGCATGGAAACTAGCTATATCTGAAGATACTGTCACTAACACCATTATTCGTACCAATTCATCAGATGAGGATATGCGAATATCAATGTTAATAGAATAAAGAAAAATATTATATTCGTTTTTTTGATGTTTTTTTTTTTTTTGTTAGAGGTGAAATAAAATGTTTTGTTGTTTATAACATAAGTTTTTTGTGTGTATGTGTCAAAATATGGTAGTTTATGGATAAAATAATGCTGTTTTAATATGATTATGATGTCATAATATTTTTGAAACCAGATAACAGGTCACGAGAAGAGCAGTTTAGGGATGAAATAATGCGGTTCTTTATTGAATAAAAGGCTGACCGTTTTATATATAGGATATATCTCTGATATATATGAGATAGATATTTATATAAATATAATATTTTTGAACCCTGTCTAAAGAGCAGTAGTGTATTCCTCAACTAAAGGTGAACTTGTCCTCAGAGATGCCATTGCCTCTGCTTGGTGCTCTATTCAAGCTCCACCAAGTATTCCACCACTGTGACCGCAAATACTTTTGCCTGGACGACTATTGTGCATGTTCCAGGTGCAAAGCTTTCCTGCATGCCTTTGTCTTCCAGTTAAAGGCAAATTATGAAGGGTGAGTTCCTTGGAAGGTTGATCTATGTTTACAAGCAAATTGTTTATGCTTGTCCAAATATAGCAAGGGTTGGGCACCTCCTTGGATAATATGTTGATCAATAGCTTTATCAGTATTTAAGAATCAGTCAATGTAGTACCAAAGAAATGATTTTGTAATAAATATGGTTAGAAGAGAGGTATATAAAATACTTATTTTAAAAACTTTCAACTATACTAACCCATAAAAATATAGTCTTCTTCCCTAAAATGTTTTGAGCAAACCCTCATTTTCTGTAAGGCAGGCTGTCCTATCAGGAGTACCTTTTCCCAAGCTTTTCTTTTATCCATGGTACCTCTTTCCCCAAGTTTATTTATGGTTTTGATCATTATACCACTATTTTCTTTTGGAAATGTATGGAAATACAGGTTTGGATTTTCTGTTCTACTGGATTCACATCCGTAAACACAACAATATGCATTGTATCTTGACTCATTTTCAGTTGTTAATGTTCCATATTCAGAAGAAATTTTTGACTCATCCTTGCTACTTTGGTCATCATTTTGAACTGAACCATTTATAATTAAATTCTCACTTTCTGTTATACTTTTGATAACAGAACTATCTTCATTACTATTTTTACCTACTTCTGACAAAGGTTTTACATTTTTACTATTAATAATTTCATAAAATGTGACAGGCTTTTCTTCACTATATTCATCTTCCTCAGTTTTCATCTCAATTTTAGGTGTCAGTAGTGTAAAGCTAATACTTTTTGCTCTTAATCTTGCTCTTTCTATTGCTTTCTTCTCTCTTAGATTTAAGTAATCCTTGTCTGGTAGATTTTGAGAAGGCACAGCAGTTGGGATCAATTTTGGCTTATTTAGTTGATGAACAACCTCTAGAAACAACAACATTTTCAGAAAATACAACAAGCGAAATATATAAACATCTCTTAATATGTCAAATTCCATTAAGCCATTTAAGGTGTAGCCTGTGAAATAGGAATTTAGAGTTTTGAACTTTTTTATTTAAACCCTCACTTTGTTTATATACAATTTTAATATATGTCACTCACACTACTAAGATGAATCCAACATGATCTCATATGTTAAAATGTATCAAGCAGTTTAAGCTGTGGCCTGTGAAATAGGAATTTCAAGGTTTGTCTTTCTTATTAAAATTTGGCATTTTGTTTTTATAAAATATACTCATTGTCACTCGCACTGCTGAGAGGAATCCAATGACACCTCATAGATCGAAATCCATTAAGCCATTTGGCCTGTAGCAAGTGAAATAGAATTTTTTGGATACATACATAGCCATGTATGGAAAAGATCCCTCCTTCCGAAGCTATTGGGTAACAATGCGATAACAAAAGCTAGATTACCAACAAGTGTAAGAATTGAAACTCCAATGCAAGTATTGCAGTTGTAGTAGTAGGAGTTGTTACCAGTGTTAGACATTCTATGGTTAAGAAACTTTGCACATGTTAGATGTTATAATCACACATATTTTCCATACATTTACCATTGGAACAAAAATATGATAGGATTATTTCAGTATTTTGAAATGTAGAGGTCTATGATATACTTAAGTGAACATACCTAGTCAACTTTCCATTTCATTTAAGTGTTTTGAATATACTTGACTAAGCTCTGTTTTCAAAATTGTATCAAATGCCATAACAAAAATGAGGGGAGTACTTTTTTTTCAACTTAACATCCAGAATTCCACACTAAAATCCTTCCCTACTACTTCAGAATATGTATCGGCAATTTTTTCACACATCAAAAATGTATTTCTAATTTGATAACTGCTCCTTGCTTTAAAGTCTTCAAATGCAGTTTTCAAAATTTCATAAAAACTAATAATTTTTAAACATCTAATATCTTCTCAAAAGATTATATTTGTATAAAGCAGAGATTTTAAAATGCTAGTTCAGAAAAAATCTAATGCATCAAATAAACAAATTCATTTTTGATTAGAGCCTCAACAGGATATCAATAGGAAAAATCTCCAACAGGGCAGAATCTATGCCACATGAAGTAAGCATGGTTATATATTAGATACCGTGAATATCATACCTCTGGCACAATAATCCTCATTTCTAAAATGCTTAGAACAAATAACAGTAGACTTCGATATAGGTCGTCCCATCCATTCTCCCATGTATAGCACCTTTTCCCAAGCTTCTCTTTTATCAACTTCTTCCTCTTCACCTGAATCATTTACAATAGGCACTGTTATACTACTGTTTTTTGATGGGAAGTGATGAAAATGAATATTTTTATCTTTCTTTTTTGAAGAATGGCATCCCGGCACGGAGCAGTTCGTGTTGTTCACAGGCTGTAGCGGTTTAAGTAAAGGTAGGACGTGAGAGAGGTCGATAAGTTCGACTTTTTTGATTTTGGTACGATGACCAGTGTTTGTAGGCCCTGCTTGGGGCTCCTCCATGCTTCACACCAAGAAAAGTATAACAAACTGGATCAAGAAAGAAAATTGTCTCTGATTTTGTAACCAGGAATAATTACTCGCAAGGTACTGTATTTAGAGTCACTTTGAAGCAATTTTCAACACAAAAAACACCTCTGGCTGTGGTTCCAAACTAAGTTCTAAACACAGGTTGTAAATAATGTATAAGCAGGTAAATGTCAAAACACTCAAAATCATCCATCAACCTCACAATCAATGAAATTTAGATTATAGTCACCAGAGGGAGCCTTACCCGAACATGTAATAGAGGTGAGAGTTTACAGTATTCGTTAAACTTATTCTATTTTGTACCAAATCAATACCAGTATATATACAGGGTGTTTTCAAAGATGAGTCATTTATTTTAACAGCTTGTAGAACTCGCCAAAAGAAGTTGATATATCAAAAATCATCTACATAAAAGTTGCATAATAAGAGAGTTAGTTTACATTATTAAAAATTATTTTGTTTCTACAAAAATCCTGGTTTCCGTAAATTAAATCACAAGCATTTTCAGTGCGCTGTTGAAGTTCTTCCAAAGTATTTACTGCTCCCTCATGGCACACCAACACTTTCAAATAGCCCCACAGAAAAAATCGCATGGCGTTAAATCCGGGGAGCGAGCAGGCCAAGAAATGGGTCCATTGCGTCATATCTATCTATTCGGAAACTCATTATTTAGATGTTCATGGGCTTCTCGTCTAAAATGTGGTGGCGCCCCATCAAGTAGGAACCACATATTCTGTCTCACATTTAGAGGAGCATCTAATAATTGTGGGAGATTGTGTCGAAGAAAATCTAAACAAATTTCACCGGTCAGTTGAGGTGGAAAAAAGTGGGGTCCAATAAGCATGCCATTTACCACGCCAGCCCAAACATTTAATGGGAATCTATGTTGAAAATGAGTTCTCTTTACGGCATGCGTATTTTATACTGCCCAGACATGATTATTGTGGAAATTGTGCAGTCCATTTCGTGTAAATGTGGCCTCATCTATAAACAAAATTAATTTCGTAAAATATTCACTTCTGCCGAAGTGTTCTAAAAACCACTGGCAAAATGCAACTCTTCTAGGATGATCTTCAGGTTGTAACGCTTGTACCCATCGATAATGATAATACTGTTCTTGTCGTATCGTCACACTTTACTATAAGGAACTTCAACTTGAGCTGATATGGCTCTAGTACTCATTGTTGCGTCGTCTTGACCATTTCTAAAATGTCTCTCTCAATTTGTAACATTTCAGGTTGAGGTCCTCCAGCGTGACCTCATCGTTGTTATTTGAAATATCCTGTGACACGAAGTCTAATAACTAAATTTACAAATATCCGTGGGGCCGGATGATTTCTTAAAGGAAACCTTTCCGCATGCTGCGGCTGCATTTTGTTGGCACTCTCCGTATGTTAGTATTATTCCCACTATTTCATTGCTTTCGTAAACATGGAACATTTTTTTTTGCACAAAATAATCAGACAAATGAAAGTATACGCACTATTACAAGACATACAACTAACCGAACCAAAGACTCGCACTGAAAACCATACAATAACAAAAAGTTTGCCAAATTTAGATAAACGATAGGAGTAGTAAACAAAAAACGTTTAGATTTTACACGGCAGTGGTGGAGAATATCAAAAAATCTGTGTAAAACATTCTTATTTTTTAAATTCTTAATCTTTTACTATTTCTTTCATTATGCAACTTTTATATAGGTGATTTTTGGTATATCAACTCCTTTTGACGTGTCCCACAAGTAGTTAAAATAAATGACTCAACTTTGAAAACAACCTATCAAAAAAAATCCATACACAAATTGTATTTTTTTCCTCTTAAAATCTTTGGGTGGTCAGCATTTTTATGTAGGTAGGTGGATTCAAAATAACACAGTCAGTTAACAAATTTATTAAACATGGAAACAACATCTAAATGTTTCTAAAATCGTTTACAAAAGATACTAGAAATGTAATATCAACATTTGGAAGTACATGATTTCCTTATATAAATGGAAAACGGCAAATTACTATTTTCTAAGCTAGATTTTCTATTTATGTGCAACAAATATCAATAAGACTAGATGTCGACTTCCTGAAATCTGCAAAAACATTTCAACAAATTAATTTATATTGTCACATAAGAGACTAGATCTAGGTATAATTTATTTAATTTCTAAGGCCGGATCAAGTAATTTTAATGTCGTGCCCATGGTAATCAAAATTTGTCCCAGATTTATTTTCGTAGTTTTTGAGACGATGCTTACAAACTGTATTACAGTGTTTGACATACAATATAAATACGTGCTTCAAAATGAAAATACATTAAAAAATAAGTGAGATCAAAACAAAATGTTGTACTATAAGGTTTGGCGTACTTCATAATGGGGCACCTCCCTTGAGGACTAGAAGATCCAATCAAATTAAAAGTGGTGGATGTACCAAAAAAGAAATGACAATGATTCAAAAATAATATCCAAGACAAACAATATAATCAATAAAAGTATAAAAATAAAAAATACATAAAAATTGCATCTTAACTATGCAACTGAAAGATATCTTTGGTATAAATCAAAGCTTGCACCCTTAATGTAGCGCTCTGACAGTAGCAAGAAGCTGATCCAACTCTACTTTGTAGCTGATCAGCTGTTGTTGTCTTTCTGCGCATTGTTCACAGCTCCTGTTTGTGATGCTTTTCTGAGCAAGATTTTGGACGATGGCTCTTAGGCGGTATTCTCGTTCCTCGTAGCGTTTTTCCAGGAAAGCTATCTGCAATAAAAAAAATGGCAGCAAGTAAGATTACTCTGCATTCCCTACGTAATGTTGTCTGGCTACGAACATGTATAAAAAAAATGAATGGATTATGGCAATCAAACAGGCCCATATAATTATTTAAAGTCCCTACAGATTTGACAAAATTGCGATCTAGTCTACCGCCCTACCGTCAGTACCGACCTCCTAGCAACGTGGCAAATCTGCCTGCCGCGGCATTAGCAAACCTAGCACGGCTTTGTATACACGGATACAGGCATCATTGTTGTTATCGTTCAGCCAACAAAGCAGATAGACGTATACTGTTTGAGCTTCCCGGAACGCGTATGCTGAAAATATACCTCATCATTCAAGTTTTAAGGGGAAGAGTGCAGGAAAATCTATGATGTATGAAATATGTCTAATAGTCTAATCATATTAGAATACAATACCCCTGGCTAGCGAAATAATTGTCTCGTTTTATTAATGTAAGTTGCTCAATGGGGTATTTAAAACATGGACGCATCAATTGGGTACACCAATTTTTGTGGGAAAACTTATTATTCGACAACACAGAATGAGAAAATGTATTTTTTACGGTTTAATCAAAAGTGTTGGCAGGAACGGAAAAACTCCTCAAATAAGATTTTTAGGTATTTATGAGACCTAACCTACAGAATGAGACCATACGTAAAAAGATCCCACTAATAGTAAATAAGTTATTGCCGAAAACCGAGGCAAAATGCAGGTTTCGGCACTTGTTGCTAATGCGACGATAATTTCATGCAGCTACTTGAAATCCCTAGTCTTCATACTTTTAAATAACCACAACAAAATTGGAGACGATTGGTCACGTAGTTTATGAGAATGTCTAATTGTTTATGACAGAACACCTGTCTGTCTGTCATTTATTGAGCAATATACCTGTACAGGGTTCGTTCTAAGGGCATTTATAGCAAAATAGACGAGTTTACCTTGCCGACCTGAATCACAAGCCATTCCAAAATATAACTGTTATTTTTATGCGAAAAACGAAGGTTTACGTTTTTTCCTTCTAAACAAATTCAAACATTTCGTATTTGCGCGTTATTATACACATTTTAAAATAAAGCGGATGTATCTATCACCTTTTGTTGCGAAGAACAAATGTTTTTTCAAGATCTTCATACCCTTGTGTATATATATTTAGAGCAGCAATTTTTACACGGTCACAGATAAGCCTGAAATTAGGAAGAAATATAATTTCCAGGACCTTTTTTCTAAAATTATTAATATAGTATACGTCTGTTTTCGAAATCTCGTACGACTAAAACAACTTCGAGTTCAAAATGTTGGAAAATAAACTCAAGGAAACGAAAAAACAGCAGACAAATATCAACCAATTGTAAAGAACTGACCGTCTGAAAAATTAGGCAAAATGCTCATTATTAGTCCCTAATACATTATTTACAGTTTCAGCATTGTATCTTGTATAGTTTTCAAGAGTACTGTTTATAACAAATTTGATATGCCTCCAACATTCGCTTGAAATTTGTCAGTATCAAGTATAGTAGTATAAAGATCCAGTAAACCAAGAGGCGTCGTACTGTACTGGGAAGAAATAACGATTGCAGAACCGCAGGACGGTGGTTCGAATCCACAAAGCTCCTTTATTTTTTTTTTAATTTGGAGAAATAAATTGTTTTTCACATTAAGTGTACTTTTATTGCGATGAAACAGTTTTTCGCAAAACATAGACAATGTAAGCTTGCAAACAGGAAACAAGCAGTATACGTATGATTGTATGATTTTTTTTATATAACTTTGATAAAATTTCAGAAACATTATGTTGGATCATAGCAGATAATTTTTTAAAACAAACATCTTAGATGTGTAAATTATTAACCAACAATAATGAAAGACATCCGAAATTTTGTTTGTGATAATACGCTCAAGTGTTCGAACGCGGTCAAATTAGGTACCTTTTGGAGCCGCAGAGAATGCTTATAAAATTAAGTGAGCTAACCCACAGTCATAACTTAAAAAATATTCTACTCTTATGTCCCAGCGAACTAAAAAAACAATCCTTTTACACAAAATAAAATCTTATGAGATAACATCAAAAAAAGATATGCGAGTGAATTGCTTGAATTAAAAAAAGACCACAACAAAAACATTATAGCTATGTCTGGCAATGAAGCAAAAACTTTGGCAGGTTATCAACACGGAATGTGGCAGAGACTCTCATGACGTTAAGGAGGTGTTGGAGATTTAAGTTGAGGCATTATCACTATTTTGTGCATCATGCGCAAGAAATCATAAAAAATTGCATAAAAACAGCTTACCTGACTACCATGTACATTGAAAGCAATAGCAAATCTAACAGCATGTTTCTCCAAGCTGTTACAGAAAATGATGTTATGTCCTATATTGGGAAGCTTAAGAATAAAAAGACTCTCGTTATTTATCAAATGAGCAGCGTTAGTGATTGAATGTGCTCAGTTCATAGTTAAACCATTGACAGCCCTAATCAATGCTTGCTTATCTGAAGGCTATTTCCCCGATTTTTGTAAATACACCAAAGTACTACCAATACATAAGACAGATGAAACAGGTTCTCCAGAAAACTAGGCAAATCCATATAACGCCGAGTTTGTCAAAAATAATTGAATATGCTGTACTGGATCAATTAGTAAAATACACAGATAAAATGAATATACTCAATAATAGTCAGTTTCGTTTTCGATCAGGCAGAGGAACATCTGATGCTATAGTAAGCCTTGTAGAGAACATACAGAGAACATTAGAGAATGAATGTATATACATGTTGGGGTATTTACAGATTTATCGAAAACTTTCGATTGTATATCCCACCCCACGGCTACAATACACGAGGGGAAAACAAAATAGTGCCTCGAATAAATAGAAATATTGTAGCCAAAAGCGTTGGAGTTTAATATTACAATAAACTTCCTGAGAATGTTAGCGGTCTGCCGTTGGACCTTTTCAAAAGGAAGGTCAAATCAATTTTAACAGACAAAGCGCCATATATTGTTGACGATTTTAAATTGTACTGCAGAAACATTTCTGTTATCTAGATTGTTTCCAGTTTCCAGTTGTTAATATTTATATTTTTAATATGTTACTCGTGTTTGTATATTCATGTGTACAATTCTGGTGTTATAATTTTAATATGATGTTAAGCTTGGTATAATTTGTCATTTATATGTGTATGCATTGTGCATGAATTTCAACTGTTTTTATAATGGATTATTTATTTTTATTGTCTTAAATCCTCGACTAACCAAAATGGTCATTGTACATTCTCTGGCTCAGTAAATATCCATCTCTCTATTAAAGTCTATAGTCGGCAATAATGGATCGGCTGGAGCTCACGCGAAGCTCAGGATCGTATTCAGAAAGTAGAAACGGTTAACATAGTCAAGAACAATTTACTGTTTTATTCTTATCTGACCTGAAATATAGTAAACATCATAAACAGCCATATTTCGTGTATCGATTTTCCTTTATAGGTAGGAACTTTTCCAAAAAAAAGGTGATGATAGAAAGTAGCAATCCGTAGTTTATAAAAAATCACAACACAATATGAGTGTCTGCAGAGCTGTCATTGACAGAACAGTCACAATTGTGCGCCTGACTATATGGGGTATTTTGAATGTTATTAGATACAGAGCTGTCATTTTCTATCACATTTGACGTCATGGAGAATCGTGATATAGACTATATTAAGCTGTTTCTAACCTGAGCCGTATGCGCCAGCCTAACTAGGCCATCTACTTCTAGCTTTTCAGACGCCCCCCCCATTGCAGCTCATGCATAGGCATTCTTTGTTGCCATTTATTTCCTGTCACGAAAGCCCGTGAGAAATTTATAGACATAATTTTGCTATGCTTTTTACCCGTAACAACCAAGTGAACTTGGTACGCTAGGTAGTTTGGAGCGATAAATCAGAATTTGACCACAAAAACAGTCTGAAGTTCTATCGCCAACTGACATAGGATTCAGAAACTACGCACCTGATACACCCAAGAAACGAATATTTATCCAGTTCGCACATCCGGAAGATTTTTTGAAAATGAACTCCTTTAGTGCAACTGGCTGATTCAACTGTAAGATCAAACTCACCTTTTGCAACAAAGCCTCGACTTCCACGTCGCTGCCATCTTTAGTAGCTGGGTAAGTGCTGAGAAGCCTAGTGTTGAGGTGATCCCGTTCTGCCTTAACCACAGCTAGTTCTTCTTTCGCAGTCGTTAACTGCTGCTGTAGAGTTGTAATCGAAACCTTAGAAATACAGACAATTAAAAAGCATTAAATGAAGGTCTGAATTCATTTTTAAACGGAAGACTAGCATACAAAGCTTAAACAATTATGTCTTAGAATCAATACTACTCTTTACTAGTAAGACTAAAATATGACATTTGAGGTACTGTTCTCACCGAAAGCAACTGGCGACAGCAACCCAACTGAGTACACGTTTTCAAATATCAAGATCGGCAGAAAGGGTTAAAAGTGACCTAGTTGCCAGGCCGCCTCTTCTCCACCACTACTACAACTGCTGCATACTTACTCATCGGTAATTACCTATCAAACTGCCCACAATATCTTCAGATATCCAGATCATTTAGCAAGGAAGTATATCAAGTATGGTGTCCCACTAGGAACAGTCTTAGGTCTACTGTGATTTAATATATATTTAAACTATATTTTCCAAATTAATTGTGTTGGCAAAATAACCAGTTATGTAGATGATACTGTAATATCATATGAAGGCAATGACTGGTCTCATCTAAAAAATGTAATTCAAAATGATTTTGTAGAAATTATTCGGTGGTTTAATAGCAGAAAACTGAGCATTAACTATTCCAAAATATGCTAGGCATTTGCCAAATTACACAGATATCTCCTTCAACATTAAAGATCAAAAACTGCAAATTAATAGAGTGCCAAACATAAAATACCTTGGAATAGTATGGATGCTCACTTACTTTGAGACATCCATGAAAGGCTACTTCGTACATTATACCATACAATGATTGAGCCTCATCTCACATATGGTATATTAGCATATTCATCACATATCTATAATTTAGATATTTTTCAAAAAAATATTCTAAAGATGATGTTCAAAAAACCGAAACTTTATCCCACCGATGAATTATACGCAGATGTTCAAATGTGACAGTCAGTCAGCTTTGTTTCTTACATACTATCATTCACTACCATAAATTTGTCTACACCGACCAAAAACTTAAACATAATCATTATGCAAGGTACTAAATTCGTGGCACAGTAGTAGTTCCCTAGCCAGATAAATATATAATGAAGCGGTTATAGCTCCAAAATTTTATGAAATTATACCTAAAGATTTACATTTCGGAAATTATTTCAAGAGAAATTTCAAAAAGTAGCTACATTCTATCTATCATAAACTCGTAAATACAAACATCAAGTAAATGCATAATCCACTGTGACTAATTCTTGCCCTTTTTTATAATGTGTATTCTACAGTGACAGCTAGAAATTATTGGTCAATGCAGGCAATGCCTCCTATTAGACCTGTTTTTATTTTACATTTATTAACTCATGTTGTTTTCTTTGTACATTAAGTGAATAGATATTGTTATTATTGCCGCCACTGGTCGGTTGCCCACATGGATGGTTCACATCGCTCCCTCAAAAACATAATTTATAATCCGATAAAGGTGACGACCCCGTGTTGGTGTAGCTTGACGCGGCTCAGAGCAGCAGTGATGGAAACCTTCCAGGAGAGCTACAGTTAATAGAAGTTTATAATGTAATAGTTGTCATCAGACTCGAGAAATATGTTTCCGTATAAAGCTTTCGCAGATCCATTGCGCATTATCGTAAACAAAAAGCTACCGTATATGTTCTTTTTGATTGATCTGGCTGAATTTTAACGTATTTGTGTATTATTAATTTAGATTTAGATAATTAAGATTTTTAAGAATGAAAATACTATTTATATTCTGCATTCTTACTAGTAAGAACATGCTCAGTAACTCTTCTGTCAACTCCAATATGTCGCGGCAGTTGCTTAGAAGAGGCTTTTGGTGAGAACGTAAAAATAATGCAACATAAGATGAAAGCAGGTTGATGTCGAATCGCTGTCTGGTAGCTTTTGATGAGAATATATAAAAAGAGGCTGTTATGTTTCACTAAGGGTCGATTATACATTGGCAACTAATGTCAAGATTAAGCAGTTAAGCTCTGAAAAATTTGATGATAGAGCATAGGACTGTGTAGCAAACTGCGTTTATATAATCGATGAAGAAATTATGCTTATAATGTTGCAAACGTGTAATCGCAGCAACTGGGCGCTCCTGATGAGAATAACAATTGTCAGGTAGATTTAACCAGTGATTAACGTATTCTACTAGAAGATAGTCAACCTAATGATTATTCCCTCGAAATTTATGAGTATTTGTCAGTTGTTTTTCTATTTACTATATATACTTTGAAAAGGTTGGTGTTTCATGCTCTACCATTCTTACCAATAATTTCTTTCTTCTCTCTATTTTATTATATTTTGCAATTCAACATACATATGATCCATGCACAGGCGTTGTCCTCCTATGGATATATTATATTTATTTACTCGTTTCGTGTTCCCTGTATTTTAGAGTAAATAAATATTATTATTATTATTATTCATAGACGAAGCTGCCTATATGCTCATTTATTTGGCTACAGCGCCATCTATTAGACACTAAAGTTTTCAAAGTATATAACAAGAGAAACAGCTGACAAATCATTGTAGATGAGGCTATGGTATATAATTTTATCTGATCATTTTTGGACGCCAGAACATGGCATTAGGTTGGCTATCTTCAGATAGAATATGTTATGAATAATTTAACTTAGATTATAAATTTTGACAACTGAACAATGCAGTCGTTTAAATCCTGTTGTAGTCTAGCAAATCAGGGTCGCCAGTGATTCTTACAACTTTAGACGCCTTTATGGCCTCCTTGAATTTCATATTATCTCCTTCAGAAAGTCTTGGGTGTTTCTAGATTTCTACTGTTCCGTGTTAGCGTCAGCGCCCTCCTAGTAATGTTTTATTTTTGAAGTGCAGGATATTTCGGGCTGATAAAACGGATGATAGAAATCGAAAGCATGTAACAATTTGATGGTAATAGATATTTGTAACATAACCTCAAAATAAAGCGTCTTTCTGAAGGACAGGAAAAACTGAAAATCAACGAGGCCATAAAGGCGTCCTATGATGTATATGAAATGTGAAGGCTACGTTAACAAGTTGACATTAAACGGGTAGAGAAGAAACTATTCGTAAGACAAATAAATTTGATAGTTGCGATCTAGTTGAAAGTAATGGCCAGAACATGCATTTTATTACATTATAAGGCAGATTTATGATTACAATAAAACACTTATAATTATGAAAATGTTTTATTAGACCGAAACAACATTTTGTGTAAATAATTACTTTGTTTTAGGCTTCTTCAACTAGCATTTTCCGCCTACTCTTCTTTTTCTTCCCGCAATTTCATCTTATATAAACCTACTTCTCCATTGGCTCAAATTATTTCATACTTCCAACATATTTTCTGAAACGACTATTTCCAAATCATTTATTTTTCTGTGAAAGTAACATTTCAACTTTAGCAGTATGCTCTTCCTCTTGCATTTTACGCCTAGCTTGATGCTCATCCTTTCGCAATTTCATCTCCAGGGCTACTTTCTTCTCCATTAGTTGAAATTCCCTATCATATTTCTCCCTCATGAGTTCGAGTTTCAACTTATGTTCTTCCTCTAGAAACTTAAGTTTTGCTTCCTCTATCACACTCCTCACAGGCTCACTTTGGGTGCATTTATCTATTTTTGAAGGATTATATTTGCTTTCCTCTACAAAAAATTACAAACATATATAAACATACAAGCGTTTCCCACCTTGCTTCTTTTAACAAATCTAAGTCTTTTCTTATGTTCAAACCCTATGTCGTTTTTCGATCATAAGTTAACTCTCAAGTTGGGTTGGGTTGTTCTTATGGTTAACCAATCCACAATTCTTAATGCGGAAACGTTGTTTCATTGTCCGAACCATCGTATTTTGTGCGCTTTGTCACAACTCATGTCAATGTCAAGCCAGAAAGGTTTAGTGTTGTGTTTTAATGAGAACTCTGGTTGAAGTTAACTTCCTTTTTAGGACAAACTTGACATTGAAAAATGCGATTTGAAAATTAAATTGATAGCAGTAAAATAAGTTTAGCTGTGATTGAAAAACCGGCTCAATGGTTCGATTTTTCGATCGCTGGTTAACCTTCAAGTATGGTGATCATAACCTGTAAATTAACTATCAGTTGTCCATAAATCCGTTTTTCAGGTTTTGGTTAACTAACACGTACATCTGAACTATTGTGTTCTAGTCCAGTTATATAGCCGAAACTGAGACAAAAGTGATATCATAGCCACCAAGTTATGTCCGCTGGCGTAATGATGTTATAAAGCTTTGCGAATATTGTTGTATGAATTTGGTTTTCCGGAAACCAGCCGTTTTTTGTAAAACAGCGAAAAACCTATAAAACCTTTTTTCGCTGGAACGGTTGAGGATATCTGGAATTTTCTTACACTTAAATTTGTCTAATTTTTGGGCCATCAAAAAGGGTATCTGCAATGTTTTTGCTAAATTGCTTAGTTTTCGCGCTACAGCTTTCTGATGGCTTATTGGCGAGGGGTTTCGAAATTCAACTGGACTATTAGTGAATAACCCCCACCATATAGTACGAGACCGTCTGCGTCGGCAACGCGTGAACGGTGCGTCAGCAGGTTGGTGGTATGCCGGTACGCCGCCCCTGCCCCTCAAACCTCTCGCCCACAAGCCATCAGCAAGCTGTACCGCGAAAACTAAGCAATTTAGCAAAAAATTTGCAGATACCTTTTTTGATGGCCCAAACATTAGATAAATTTGCGTGTAAAAAAATCCCAGATATCCTCAGCCGTTTCAGCGAAAAGAGGTTTTTTGGGGTTTTCGCTGATTTACCAAAAACGGCTGGTTTCCGGAAAACCAAATTCATACAACAATATTCGCAATCATTTATTACACCATTACGCCAGCGGAAATAACTTTGTGGCTATGTTATCACTTTTATCTCAATTTCGGCTATTTAACTGGACTATTCTGTACGTTTTGTAATGCTTGACGTTTGTGCCTGGTATCATAGACACAACACACAACTGTCAGTGTGAGGCAGTGTGGTTGTACATGATCTACAGTGTATCTAACGAAGCTACAAAGTAATCGTAAACAGTGGTTGATTCGTGATCAAGGCGTGATCGGTAGCCATGGCGCTCTGTCGGCCTCTTCCTGATTGGCTTGTAGCGACGAGCCTCCAGACAAAGTCGCACGGTTGCCACGCTCAGCGAGTTTTCGCCAGAGTGGTTGATCACATTCGCATGGATCACAAATGAATCTGTTGGTGCAATACGTGCAATAACTGTTGTAAAGGACATTATATAACAATAAATGGCATCACAAAGGTATATTCCAATTTGATCTGCAGCAAATTATGAACGGCATATACGGAGATGCGAAAACAAGCTCAAAAAGGTGAAGAAAATTTTTGTGCAATCTTTATAGTTAAATTTTTCCTAAGAGATAGCATCAGTGAGGGAATTTTTTTCTATTGTCTTATTTTTCACATTAATGCGATGTCGAGGTATGTGGCCCTATCGCAATTGAAAATAAGGTTTCGATAATCCTTCCATAAAGTTTCGATGAGTACATCTGAAATAACCTTGAGATATTCTTCAGGGAAATACAAAAATCTCCTTTTGTGTTTTTTTGTGCAGATTTATCTATTAAAATCCTATCCGCAATCTATTTTCCGTGCACACACCTTCAACCGAATGTATGCCATATATGATATTACCGTTTCCAACTTTCACCAAGGTTAATAGGAACCATAACAGCTCCCTACCCTTCCCCCCTATAAGAATATCGATTTGTAGCCTCACATTTCAAGGTTAGACTTCTTGTAATGTTTCTGTTCAACATACGGCGATTTTTGACAATTTTCCCAATAAAACATGATCATTGTGACATTAAGCCTGGCAACGCTGCATAGTAGAGGGAACTCTAAGCGTCACGTTGATGGTTCGTAACCACGCACAGGATTGTAATCAGTTACGGATACCCGTTTATGAGCGCGAACGTTTTATGCACGTCTTGACTTGATTTTTCTTGCGGAAATTTAATATTAGTCTAAAATGTCTGACACAGATACTGCTGATGAAGTGGTTGAAATCAGCTTAACGCCACCCAGAAAAAGGGCTAAAAAGCTTCATCTTAGCGCAGGTGAAAAACAAATTATTCTAAATATCTACAAGAACCAGATGCAAGAGAATAGTGGATTGGCTATAGAAAATATCGTATGTAAGGTTGCTGAAATTTCTGGAGTAGGTCGATCAAGTGTTTACAAAATCTTGAAGGAATATAGACAAAATCACTCACTATCTGAGCCAAAAACATATCCAGCGAGAAAAAAAATCATCGAAAAAATAGATGACTTTGACAAAAGTGCCATTAGAAGAAAAGTACATCACTTTTTCTTCAGGAATGGAATACCTACAATAGATAAAATATTGAAGCAAGTGAATGATGATGAGGACCTGCCAAATTTTAAAAGATCTACGTTCCATAAGCTGTTGAAAGAACTAGACTTTCGATTTTTGAAAAGAGGAAGGAATAGTTTATTGATAGAAAAGGAGGAAATTGTTATCTGGAGGAGAGAAAAATTAGGCAATTCCGCGCTGAAGGAAGAAAAATTTATTATTTAGACGAAACATGGGTGAACGCGGGGCATACGCAGGGAAAGGTTTGGGTAGACAGATCTGTGAGGTCCTCAAGGCAGGCTTTTTTAGATGGCCTTTCGACGGGATTGAAAAATCCTGCAGGTAAGTTTCGAAGTATATGAACTTTTTTGGATGCAGATAATTCATTTTCTGATCGAATCAATGATTTGGAAGCTCCGAACTCAGTTTTGCTATCTCATCCAAGTTTCTGAGTATTTCCTTCACCCAAAAACTAATCTAAGACCCTATCCTACACTAACCTAAAAAGTGTAAGTTGCTTAATTTCGTCATTTAGTGCGCTCGCTGAGAAGTAAAATAACTAATTACTTTCAGGGAAGAGAAAACGCCTGATCATTTGCCACATAGGTAGCGTAGATGGATTTGTTCTTGAAGCATTGTGGGCATTTGAATCCAAAAAAATTGGAGACTATCACGAAGCAATGGATAGTAACTCATTTGAAAATTGGTTCAAAAAAATTTTGCCGACACTTGATGATAACGCAATTATTGTGATGGATAATGCCCCGTACCACTCCAGAAAATTGGAAAAAATTCCAACAATGGCCACCAAAAAGGCAGACATTCAACAGTGGCTTGTCTCAAAGAAGATCGACTTCGACCAAACAATGGTCAAAGCTGAGCTGATAAATATAGTCAAGCGACATAAGTATAAATATGATTTAAAAATTGTTGACGAAATGGCCAAAAACCAAAATAAAACGATTCTCAGGCTGTCTCCCTATCACTGCGAACTGAATCCTATCGAGTTGATTTGGGCCGACATCAAGCAATACGTGGCGTCAAATAACAGCACTTTTAAGTTTTCTGACCTTAAAAAACTGTTTGATGTTGCTGTCGATAGAATTACGCCAGCAAAATGGAGAACATGTATTGACCATGTCCAAGAGAAGGTTGAAACCAAAATGTGGGATATGGACAATATCATTGACACCCAAGTTGAACCCCTTATAATTGACATCAACAAGTCTGATGATTCAAGCTCCTCGTAATACAGCATATAAATCGATTGATACCATTAAGACTGGCAGTTTAACGGGCTTTTTGGCAAGACAGGTAAGTTCATTATAGACTGCAATCAAAGTGTAAGTTTCTAGTTATTAATGTGGAAATTCCAAATTTATAATTACACAAAATTAGGGTTAATTTAGGAGTTCCAAAGCATAATAGTGCCATTTTGACCTTCTTCCTATTTCTCATGTAAATTTTAATAGCAATCAAACTAACAAACTTTATGGAGTCTGTAATAAACTTTTGTACTACTACTACTACGTCTGTAGTTTCTATTTGCTCAAAAAAATTTGCTCTGCATTGTGAATAGAAGGTTGATTTGTAAATATTATTGGGTATATATGTAAGTTAATAATAAAATATGAACAATTTCAATTGAGATGGTCCACAAGTTTTTTTGTGTGCGTTTTAGTAAAATTTTGCTGAAATGGTGAATACAGAATTTTTTGCACTGATTCCTAATGTCGAAATATGATTAGAAAGGCGTGGTATATTCCTGATAATTTACTATGCTTTTGATAGAATTTACAGCAACACATATCTTGTACGACATTTTTTGATAGATCAGTCACAATAGCTTGATACGGCCCTGTAGCGTCTCCTACGGTTAAGTTCTTGATCACGTGCAATACGGGTGTATATGTTTGATTTTACTTTGTTTCTTCGATGGATACAGTTTAAGTGAGGTTTACTACCGTTTTCAGACAAACATAATATTAAAAAACGCGTTTCGACAGTGATTAACGTATTCTACCTGAAGATAGCCATTCCCGTATCGGAGATAAAATGAGATACCGTAGGTCAACAATGAGAATTTGTCAGTTTTCTCTATCTATTGTACGTAGTTCGAGTTCATGGTACACAGATACCGCCGTAGCCACGTATCTGCTTTTCAAAGTATTTATAGTGAATAGAGAAACAGTTGTGACAAATTCTTATAAATGACGCTACAGTATCTCATTTAATCTCCGACATTTTTTCGAACGCTGGAGTACAGCTATATTCAGGTAGAATTCTTTAAGTAATGCTTCTGGTTACCAGCTAAACCTACGATTGAAAAACCGGACACAAAAAGATATTTTCCCTTCAACAAAAAGGTTACCTTTCATTGTTGGTGTTACTGTGGAACTAATTTTGGGCAGTTTTACCACCAATTCAACATTTCTATCTGCATCTACAAATGAATGGTATCAAAAATATAGTTACTGATGCATATAATGAACAAGCATACCGCTAAAATCAGTAGTTTCCAAATCCTTTTGCCCATCTAAGGATGGTGCAACTCCCATACGACCGTAATTATCTTCTCCATCAATTTCAGATCCTAAATCATCAAATTGGGATTCCTGAGGTTTTGAAGCCTCTACTTCATCATCCGTGATTTCGTTCTTTATTAAATCACTATATGTTCTCAGTGAATAACATTTTTCCTTAGCATTTTTCTTCATTCGTTTCTTTAAATTTGTATATTTTGTTCTCAAACAATCTTTGGTTCTATAGGTATCATCAGAACGTGCGTTAAATTCTTCCTCAATAGCATCCCAGCAACGGTTTTTCTTCTGAGATGTCTCGCCATCAAATAATCTGCAATCTATTATATGCCTATACTTTTTTGCCAAGAAAATTAGTATAGATTCTTCCTTATTTGAAAAATTGGCCGCTCTTTTTCTTTCACTGGGCTATAAATAGAGAATTTCTCAAGTAAATTGAAGACGTACAGTTCTGGAGTGAAGATATTACAATATCTTAAAGAATATTCGGAAGAATACGATCGTATTACAACTACAGAAAAATTTATTCTCAGTAAGTGCTACTGTCGAGTAAGATATCCCACCAGAAGATATCAAATTCAGTTGAAAGTCGTTCTTTTGCAAAATTAAGCGTACACCGCCAACCACTTATGCTTACAGCTATGTATACGTATCTACCACCTTCTTTAGGTGTCAGCGTTGCTACCTCTTGAAATGTTACCGCAGGCTACAGGATTAAAACAGAGTATAGAATCTTAGGAACAATTACAAGCGTTTTAGAGTGTGAATCTTTTCTTGGAAGATTGATCTCATGTTTAAGAATAGGCAATTTTCTTTAAAAGGAATATGGATTCGTTTTCTAGTGCTACTAAGATAATTGTATGTGAAGCTCAACTACATCATTGGGCATCTTCTCAGAGAATATGTTAATCAATCAGTTTCACTAGAGGTCAAACGTCAAACCGGTCAAACTCAATGTTATTTTAATATTTTTGATATTCGTCAAAACTAAGTTTGAGCTTTACGGCTCAAAGATTCAGCTGACTTGCCTTTGTACAATCGAACCTCAGTGATAAGTAATACTTCTTTATAAAAGATGACAAAAAACCAGTATGTATAGGTTTTTATTCATACCTGATGGAGCACTAGTTGTTCTCTTAAAGGAGTTACACTAGCAACATAATTTGACGTTTCTCGCTCATGGGCATCTTGTAAAGCAGTTAGCTGTAAAAGTTTTACCAATCAGTATGACAAATTGGAACGATTTGATAAGTTTTTGAAAAAAATGCACTAAATTTGATACATATAAAAACATATGGAATCAAAAGCGATTATTCTCCAATTTCTAGTTTATACAGACACAGAACTGCTGAACTTAATTAGCAAGTCCGCTGTCAAATCTAGTTTCAACCTCCTTTTACACAAGGTTTTATAGCGCATCACGATCGAATAGAGCGACGCTTAGGGTGATGAGAGATCCCAAAATAAAAGTTGCAGAGATCTACACGTCAATTTGGGCGCTACACTTCATCGTGCCACGCGAAACTCCGTTATTTTGCAATTGCAAAGATGATCCGCGGAATAGCATGATGTGAACGTACAGATTTACAATTAAGTGAAAAGCGATTCTGAGAGATTACATCTGGAAAACAGTGGTCATCCTCGCCAAAGTGTCAAAATCCACTGCGTCGGCCCCAACCATCTGACGGTTTTTCGATCTTGGACTTAGGCTATGTGAACAGTTCTGGCTGGCATAGATGTGACTTAGGAGCTATAACAATGTTTTCACAACTAATGTCATCAATAGTCCCCACTTGCTGTATAACCAAAAGAGGGCCTAAAAACAGCTACCTCAAGTGCTACATGAAAGGCACAGGGCTAGTGAATCTATGAATCTATGCCGGAAGGAGATCCACGAATTATGCTGAAAAGTTCACTGCTAGTTGATGACTGACTTACATCTAGTATTCTTTTATCCTTTAAAGACTGATAATCATCCTCCATTCTTTTCAGCTGTTGTTGCAGCCTATCCCTCTGGCTCTTGACCTGTTGTAGCTCCTCTTCTTTCCTAAAATCCTTCTCAGAGCTGCCACTGTTAGATCTGGCTTGAAGAGCCAGCTTTTCTGGATAGCTACGAAAATCTCTCCTTTCACTCAGGTTTTTCAAACTGCCTTCTCGTTCTTTCTGAAGACGCCTATTGGTTTTCTTCAGATCATCCACTTCTTTTTGCAGTCTAGTAACCACCTGTTAAAAAAATTTAAGCATAGTCATTCAAGAAATTTGGGGTTTGCAAAGCAGTATTATTAAAATACAATACTAAGAGTTACATTTTGTTGACTGTTCCCTCCTTTGATTTTAAAGAAATAATGCTTCATTGGAGAGTGTCCAAGGGAAGTTTTAACATTTGGATTTCACAGAAGGCTGTAACAGTTCAGGTTTTTAAAATTTGGAGAATATTCAGGGTTTTCGAAAATTACACGATTATTCACTTTTTTAAAACCTTCGAAATATTAAAAAAAAATTAAAATTATCAAATTTTTCAAATTCTTCATTTTCGAAATTTTCAAAACTAACAATATATTTATAATTACGAAAAGTTTGATTGGATATGTTGAACATTTTTAAAATTAGTGAATTTTGAAAATTATGAAAACCTACAATGATAGCTGTTATCGCCTACTTTGAAATGCAAATGTTAAATACTCCCTTAAATATTCCACAAGGAATCATTATTGTTTGTTTGAAATTAAAGAAGAGATAATTCCTCAAACAACACTCAATCCACATAAAGTGCCTATAAATCTGATCCTAAATACTTCAATGGTAAGGACTAAGACAGTAAAAATGTAAAATTTAAAATATTCACATAATAATAATATAAAATGATCAGCTATATTTATTTATAAAAATTAAGAAACAACAGAATATACAATTCAATGTTTACATTATTTTCACTTACACGTTTATTTTTTGGTTTATCTGTGGATATGGAATTTGATACTACGAGTACTTCTTCATTTACTGAATTATTTGAAAATGATGCCTCATTTTCCATTTTATTGTCACTTTCAGGTACAATTTCACACTCCATGTCACTTGAGCTTTGCTCCTCAGTTTTCACAACTATATCCTCATGGAGATCAGAAGACAGTTGTTCATAAACTGTCATATTCATGGAGTTTTCCTCTGTCATGTTTGTAAAATTATCTTCTGTCATATTTCCAGGTTTTTCAACCATCTCTTCCCCATCTACTAAACCCTCATATAATACTGTTTCATCTTCAAAAGTTTTGCATACCAATATTTTACCAAGGCCCTGTTTAGTCTGCCCCTTCAAAATTGTTTCTTCATCAGAGATTTGTTGGGACTGTTTTGTTACATTCCCTTTTGGAAGATTTTGAGATGGCACTGCAGACTGATTCAATTTTGGCCACCTAGATTGACCTAACAGCAAAAATAATGGTGTACAAAGGCTGATTAAAAAAAGGTGTCAATCTTTATACAGCAGCATAATAAAAAAAAATACTACAGAAATGCATATAACCTAAAATGTCCCATTACCTCAATACAGGATCTTGTAAGTTTCTTTTCCACTGATTAGACTAAATAAGGATAAATCATAAGTATTGTTCAAATAACATTACAGTAAGAAATTATTACTCTTCTAGTATAGTACATACACTATACAGGGTGGCGCATCGAAAACGAAACAGACGCATTTACTGGCAGCTCAGGTTTTTATGGAAAAACGCTCAGACCCGTCGATTTTGTTTTCGAGGGGGCACAAGTTTGGTAAAAAATCACGTTAGCACGTGCAGCCCCCTAAGCGGGGGTGACACCACCCCCAAAATCTTAAATGGAAAGAGGAGTCGAGTGATACCTTATTTTAAAGGTCTTTCAATTCCCTTTATAATGATATAAAATTAATGTACTTCAGTTCAGTAGTTTTGAAGATTTACTGATTTAAAGCTTAAATAAAACTAATACATCATCATTAGTGGACATGAATACATTTGGCAGCAAAGTAATTTAAAAATGAAGAATGAACTGACCCGTGAGGCAAGTAAATGTTGAAAATGGCCACCATGACTATCCATGCAATAATAAAGATTTTGCTCAAAACGTTGCCGCACATTTTGCAATGTTTGAGGAGTAATTTGAAGGCACTCATTCACAATTATTTGTCGCAGGTCTTCTGATGATGTTGGCTGAGTAGCATAAATTTTGCTTTTAAAATGACACCACATAAAGAAATCCAAAGGTGATAAATCTAGCGATTTTGGGGGCCATTTATTGGCACTTCTTCTACCAATCCATCGATCTGGAAACGTCTGATCTAAATATTGTCGAACACGTAATGCGTTATGTGGTGGGGCACCATCCTGTTGGAACATCAACCTAGTCGCAATGTACCGCCGATCATTCTCATTAACAATTATGGCTGTTAATGCAGGATCTATGGCGTCTTCCAGTAATTCCAAATACATTTCACCGGTCAAATTTCCAGGTAAGCAAAAAGGACCAACTAAATGATCGCCAAAAATACCAGCCCTAACATTTATTTTTTGTGGCTGCTGTGTATGAACCTCATGATAAATTCTGGGATTACAATCGGACCAATATCGGCAGTTATGACGATTTACTACGCCATTTAAGAAAAAGGAACATTCGTCGGAAAAGCAATTGTTGACTAGAAAATGTTCATCGTTTATAATTCGTTCACTCATATCTTCACAAAATTATAATCACCGATCAAAATCGTCTTCATTAAGTTCTTGTACCAGGTGAATTTTAACGGATGAAAACTATAGGCCTTTAGAATCCGTTGGACAGTACGTCGACTAACACCACCTACAGTCTCCAGTTTGCGGGTACTTAACGTAGGATCTACATAAACTTGCCCCAAAACCCCCACTTCTATTGCTTTGTTCCTTATGGGATTTTCAATTTTGCGTTTTTTTATTGGCGATTGACCCAGTTTCCTGAAATTTAGCTACAAGTTCTACAACATATTTTCGATGCACGTTACTGTTCTGATGACGCTCATTAAATATTTCTGCTGTTCTATTAGCGCACTGATTATTTCCGAAAAATATTTCGATAATTTCAACTCTTTCTGCTGTGGAATATACCATGGTTAATTTATGTAATAAAGTGTTACAAGTTATTTTAGCAACAAAGTTTGGTCACATCAATCGCACTAAACTTCCTATTTAAAATAAATACGAGATATTTCCTTCTTAAAAAAAAAGTTTTTTGTCACAAAAAAACGCTCCAATAGCTATTTTCAACAACAAAATGATACACAAACCATGGGTGTAGTGCTAGACAATAAGTAAATTCTTTTAGTCAAATTTCTTTTGAAAGTAGTACAAACTAATCTGATGTACCTATTAAAGCTTTAAATCAATAAATCTTCAAAACTACTGAACTGAAGCTCATGTATTTTACAGCACAATAAAGGGAATTGAAAGACCTTTAAAATAAGGTATCACTCGACCCATTCCATTTAAGATTTTAGGGTTGGTGTCACCCCCGCCCAGGGGACTGCACGTGTTAACGTGATTTTTTGCCAAACTTGTGTCCCCCTCGAAAACAAAATCGACGGGTCTAAGCGTTTTTCCAAAAAAAAACTGAGCTGCCAGTAAATGTGTCTATTTCGTTTTCGATGCGCCACGCTGTATACAATTTTCAATTTCAAACTTCAGTGTATTCTCAAAGTAGAAGTTTTTAACATGATGCAGGAAATAATTTACTTCTTCCTTCTGCAGTGGTAAAATTTTCTCAATTTCTACTATACTGATACTGGTGTGGTAGTCTTAAGCACTATCATTTTGGAGTATTGTGTATTGGCTATGCTGTTAGCACCAGATGTTCAAAAATTTAAGTTGATATCTTAATCCACTCCAAACAGATTTTTTCCATTTCAAAATTATAACTGCATATATCTTGGTAAAGAGGCATTTTAGATACCCATGAACATTTCATGTTATTCTTTGATATACCCTATACCCTAGAAATATGGTCACTTCTTTCTGAATCACCCCACCCCATATATCAAGTGTGAAGAACGTGTGACATGACTAAAATACATCATTTTGTTATATGTTGCATTTTTTCTACTGACCTCGTATATCTGCCAAACCTAAAATTTGTTCAAATAATCTCAAACTGTAAATAACACTTTTCTCAGCATGACAGTCAAGAATATGAACTAAAATTCTTTTAGGTTATGGCTCAGTGTTATTATCTTTCAATTTCTCCATTGATGACTTTTATAAACAATTATTAGTATCAATATTTCTTTTTTAAAGGTTATTTGATTCTTACCATCAGCAATATAGTCTTCATCCCTAAAATGTTTTGAACAAACTGTCATATCATATGTGGCAAACTTTCCCAAAAGCAGCACTTTTTCCCAAGCTTTTCTTTGATCCATTTTCCCCATCTGACCAAGATGATTGACAGTTTTCACTGACACACCAGAATTTTTCTTTGGAAATGTATGGAAGTAAAGGTCTGGATTTTCCACTTTTGTGGATTCACAGCCAGAGACACAACAATAAACCATATAGTCCAATGCACCTTTAGGAACAGTATGTTTCATGCTTTGCTGTATATCATCCTTGGAAATGTCAAGTATTTTTGGTGGAATATGTAATATTTCATTTAGCAATGTTGTACCATCTGCCTCATCTTTACTGTCAGAATTACTAGGTGATTTTAGTAGGGTGTTTGAACAAGTTGCTTTTATTTTGCATAAAGCTGACTCAATCAGTTTCTCAGTATTTGTTAGATCACTCATTGGTCCTGGAAAATCTGCAGAACTTTCTATTTTCTTTGAAAATTTCACTACATCTATTTCCTTAGCTTCTGGTGTTTTACTCAGTGTCATTTGTGGAGCTTCACTTTCTTTGTCTATCTCAGGTAAGTCAAGTGCTACTACTTTATCAGCTGTTACCAAATCATTATATGAGATTGGCTTCTCAATATAATCATTATCTCTACAAGTAGTTTTGGGCATATCCTTTTCACTCTGCAAAGGTTCCTGTTCCGTTTTTCCTCCCTCTGAATCTCTCCTTATACCCAACATTGCGTTCATTTGTTTCCTACCTAGCTTTCTATCTGGTAAATATAAAAGAGGAACTGCAGTTGGCTTCAATAACCCCCCTCGTTGCATATTCACGTGGTCACCTAAGGGGAAAAAGAGGAACATTTTTTTAGACCAGTAGATTTGCACATAAATCTAGTAATCTAATCATAAGTATAAAATTTATGTCATTGTATAAGCTGAATGTTACATGATCAGTATTTACAGAGTCTGTACTAAAAATATTTACTGATAATCCCTTCAGTATCAGTGAATTTCCACATAGCCTTAACATCAATAATAATTACTGATGACCTGACACAATAGTCAATAAATATCAAGTTCCATGGCAAACACTAACAGATCACAGTAAATACTGACTGACTGGCAATGTGATATTTTTCTTAGGCTTTGAACAAAGGTGGTTTCATAACTAACTCTTCTTGAATTGAGGATTAAAAAGTCACCCAAAAGAATTAAGAAATATTCTGTCAACTGATCATTTATTTAAGGAAGTATTACTGAGGAAATAATATGTATCCTATCTCTTGATGCATATATACAAGATAAGATAATTCTGAAAATTCATAGTATAACTATGGCATAAACTATTTCAAAAAATAACACGAAAACTTCATATAAGCAAGATGCTCCCTTACCAAGATATTGGGTGTTGGGATTATAATTTCGGATTCAAATCAATCAGAGTGGATTAAGGTATTGACTTAAAATTTTATATCACAATGAACAACATTTAAGAGAACACCCGCCTGGCACAACACCACTGGTATAGAAATTGGGAAATTTTAGCCTTTCAACACTAATGTTTAAAATGTTATTGCATTTTTGAATAATTTTACACAAATTGCCTCTCAAGAAAATTTTATCAAACTACTACTTTTGAAGAAAAATTGGTATGAATATCTTAGGAAAAATCCATTTTTTATATAACTCCAACCCATTCTACTTTGAAAATATGCTGAAGATGGTGAGCTTTATCATTAAAAATTGTATATATTGTATTAGGAGACTAATACTATCTCACAATATTTTATCAATATTCACGTTTATATTTATTCAGTCACATCAATAACATAGAAATTTACAGTAAAAGTATTCTACCTATGTAATCTTCTTCTCGAAAATGCATGGAACAAATCCTTGTAGCATTTGTGACAGGTCTCCCATAGCGAGTTCCCAAACATAGCAACCATTCCCATGCTTTCCTGATATCTATCAGTACTTTAACTCCAGAAGAATTCATGATGGGCACCTTTACACTACGGATCTTTTGTGGAAACTTATGGTAGTGAACCTTTGGTCGTTTCCCTTGTAGAGAGGGACATCCCCGGACACTGCAGTGTCTATGTGAAAGACTGCTCATATTGTTTGGTTGTTTCGCCATTATAGTCTCAGCTTTGGACACGATGCATTTCTTTGGTATTCGGTGGCCCTTGTTCACTGGCCCAGCTACAGGTTCTTCCATTTTCACCAAAAAAATCTCAAGTTTTGATGTAAGCACTACAGAAGATCTGGGAGGTTTTAATACACTGCACTGGTAAGATTCATAAGCACTCCATTTTTAACGGTTTAAGGTTTAAATAAATATTTGAGAAAAAACAACTATAACGATAATATTACAAAAAATAAAATCACAAAATTGATAATAGTGTTGATTAAACTCTCTAGTTCCATATTACACCGCAAGGCCGCTGCGCGGTGCATCTGCATGTCACTAAGTGTTAAGTGAGGTTAGTTGGAAGGTAACAGTGATGGGTGGTGGGAGGTTACAAATTGTATTGTGTTCGTATTCGGATATCAATATAAACTATGCTCCAAAAATCATGGGAATAAGAGATAGAGTCTGAAAGCAGTGGTAATATGTCTAGGTCACAAAATGTACCAAATAAAAAAATAACACGATAACTTCGTGTAAACATGGTTCCTAAGATGTCCCCTTACCTAGATACAGGGTGTTGAAGTTGTAATTTTAAAATCAAAGAAAATTTGTGTCTTCAGAATGGATTGAGATAAGACAGCGCCATCTATCACACCAGAATCAACCACTGCGGAAGGCGCATAGCTGCTATTAGGTGGAACTATTAGGGATCTCAGCTAGGATTTACTAGCAAAGTCACCATGGCTGACATTTATGGCTGTAAACATGGTCTACTTGCCATTAAATAAACCAAACATGATGCTTTCGTCTGTCCGACCAAAAAGAAATGGACACCTGTTTCTTGCTTCTTAGCTACTCATCAGCATGGTCTAGGCTTGGTCATTAAACATGATGCTTGGTTTGAGCAATGGGAAGTAGAACATAGATTTTATAGCCATCTAGCGATTACGTGGTGACTTTGCTATTAAACGCGAGCTGAGATCCCTAACAGTACCAACTAAAAGCAGATATTCGCCTTCTGCAGTGGTCGACTGTGGTGTGATAGATGGCGCTTTGCCTTGTCTTTAATCGTTAGACCGTACCTCCGGTATAGAAGATAGTTGCGATACTTTCGTTCGTCCAGAGGCAAAAGACCAAGTTGATGAGTAGCCCAGAAACACGAAACAGCTGTCCAGCTGGACGGGCAAAGGCATCATGTATTTGAAGATGTTGACTTAGAATTTTGACCATATATTAGTAATGTAAAAAATGTAAAGACTACCTGTGGTGAAGAAATTATAACCACTACGAAAAAAAATTTTCCATGCCACTGACTTTTTTGAAAGTATTGCTTTTTTGAACAGACTAATCAATTTTACGTGGATCGACTGTTTCGAGAAATTTTTGCCAGAGTGCTCCATTCGGAGAATAATGGTTTGATTATTTGAAGTAAAATCCATATAAAAAGTTTCAAGCTGTCCTACTTTGAAAATACGCTGAAGATCGACTGTTTCGAGAAATTTTTGCCAGAGTGCTCCATTCGGAGAATAATGGTTTGATTATTTGAAGTAAAATCCATATAAAAAGTTTCAAGCCGTCCTACTTTGAAAATACGCTGAAGTTGGTGAAGTTTGACATTAAAAATTGTATGTGATGTATTAGGAGATTAATAATCTTTCACCTCAGCGGTATTTGCAAAATTGTCATGTTTTGTCCTTATTAAATCTCATCATTGGCGTAGAAGATAACACCCTCTACTTTGGTGACTGGAAATTTTAGGAAATATGTTAATAGGAACTTTTTTGTTTCTTTTGGATGTATGTTTTGCTAAAAAATATTGCCATTGTATTGTATTGCTATTTTTTTCAATGATCCTGTATACTCAAAGGTCAAAAAAACAACTACACTAAATAAAATAAAAATGTACGACAAAACAAGTAACAATAATTTAAGAAAAAATGATGCAAAGCACTTACTATTGTTTTGATAAAAAATCCCACAAAGTTTGTTAAATACTATGCTTCCTCAATATGCAACATTCTTGACTGTCTAGGTCTTATACAGTGTCTACTTCAACGTGCCAAAAAAAACAGCTTTTGTACGAGATAAGCAACCCACGCGGCGCGGGATGGAAACGGCAGTGAAAACGCTCTAGATGCGCTCGCGAAACAACAGCATAATGCTTGAAGACAATTACAGTGAATTAATTACAAGTTCAATAATGCTAAAGGGTACAGGTATGTGCCATTTCCGGTTTGTTCACATCGGACCTATAAATAAACAGTCCGATTTAGCTATAGGGTGCGTGGCGCTTGAGGTTGCATAATGACGCATGTCGTTGCGTAGTTTTCCACCTAATCCTTTGCTGGAGGCAGGTTCGGATTTGAATTCACAGATTTCTTTCGAAGCCTAATAAGTTACGAGGGTAGGGTGAAAAGTTCTCGGCCTGGCGATGAAAGACTGTGATTTTCGGTTGAAAAATGATTTAATTTTTTTATGTAATCCCCTTCAACTCCATCACAGCTGTTCCATCGCTTCTCTAACATTAACATTACTTCTGGGAAATGGAAGCGAGGAAGGTTGTCGAAATATTTATCTATGACCCTTTCAACTTCTTCATCTGCCCCAAAGCGCTTCCCAGATGTCTTCAAATTTGGGGACAGATGAAAGAATGCGGGTACCAAATCAGTAGAACAGGGGGAATGGTCCAGCAAATCTAACCCCAAACCTCACAGTTTTCCCATTGCTAATGGACCTTTGTGAGCAGGCGTGTGGCCACGTCTCTTCTCTTCTTCAATCTAGTATCCAGCTGCTCAAGGAGGTTGTAGTAGTTTTCCCGAAATATTTTTACTCTTTCAATGTCTCCCTTCAATCCCTTTCGTATCCCTAATCACACTAGCTATGGTCTTTTCGGCAAATTCAATCAACTTAATTTCTTTAGTGCTGAACCACCGACTTTCACCCACTGATTCGACTGTTTAGTTTCCGGCGATTGAATGAATGAATAAATAAAGAAATTAGCGGCATATCAGCCACCATGAGGAGCCGGCGCATAGGCCGCATAAACGGGCCCTTATGTACAACTACATTCCCTAACCTCAAGCTCCGCCCTTCTAGCAAAGTTGAGTATAGCCCTGAGTCCCAGCTCCTCAACAGTCTGGGGATACAAAATGTTAGTATAGTCTACCTGTAGTTGCTCAGAGCCTCACAGCAACACAGAACGTGCGCCGAGGACTCTTCCTCTACCCCGCAGCGCTCACACATGGAATTTTCGGTCTCCTCCATGGTATGCTTGTGGCGTTTCACCGTGATATGGACAGACAACAGCCCCACCAACAACTTGCGGTTGGCTCTATCCAAAGATGAGCAAAAGCGTGCAATCTTATCACTGGGCCCTACCATGAGCTTCCGTGCCTGACGGAGATGTCTAGAGATGCTTTTTTATTTCTCAGCAATCGATTTCTCCATTTTTCTCCTGGCTCTTTACGCGGGCACCTCAGGACTAACAAGCTTGTTCGCTGATCCTGCCTTCGCAAGAGCGTCCGCCATATCATTACTATGTATCCCAACTAACGATACCGGATGCCTCGCTGCTAGACTATCCAGAGCCTCCCTGCATTGCAATACAAGGCTGGAAGTAATCTTGTAGCCACTTAGTGCCTTCATCGCAACCTGACAGTCGGAGAATATTGTTATTCTTCTCCTAGGCCCTTCCTCCTCCAAAATGCTGAATGCGCAAGCCAGAATTGCGCTGGAAAACAGTGTTGTATCTGCCGAGAGGCAGAGAGAGCCTAGTTCTAGGCCCAAAGACTACGGCGCCAAATCTCTCTTCAGTAACTGAGCCATCCGTGAACCAGACCTGCCCACTTCGGAGACCTTTCGGCTTCTGAAGTCCCACTCTCCGTCCTCGTCGGAGGCTCCACATTAAACTTGAGATGGCGCTTAGTAGTGGGCACAGCACATCACTCATCCATAGTAACGAATCGCTGCATAAAATAGGACCGATCCCAAACATTCAGCAGTTTCCGATTTTTTCCGATATCCCTACGGCCTCCGCTATCTTACTCACCTCCATACGCCTATCGTTCAACTGAAAATCGCGTACCCTTTCGATGGTTTCAGGTGTGAATGCGTTTTTGACGTCCTTCAAGGAGCGTTGGAGTACGTTCAAGTTTAGTTGAATACCTTTTAACAGTTGAAGTCGAAGGAGCAGAGTCCCCATACACTTTTATTAACTTCGGAAGAATTTCCATCCAACGCGAAGAATCTGATGACAGCACGATAACAAAGTTTAACAATCTTAATTAAAACTACGAAAGACAATTCAAAAATTCATGTACTAGCCCTACTGAGTGGGGCCGTGGCAAATGCTTGTTCCGGAAGTTGTTGTATACAGTATACAACTTCTTCTCGTTCAAGTGATTGTCCACGCGTTAAGGAATACCTCAGTACCGATTGCCGGGTGGCGGTACAAGTCCGCCAACGGGCCACTTTAGGTCTATTTAACATCACTAACACGTAAAAAGAAGGTGGTAGACAAGGACCAGTCGACCGAGGCAGTACCACCCGCTAGCTTTTCCCAGGGTGTCTTATAAATGTCCGCATGTTTCCACACCTAAGCTAAGCAGTCGGTTATCCTCCAAAACAAAGAAATTAATGATGATGGATCCCTCGATCACTAAAAACTCCGGACGTAAACTCACTCCACTCTCGGAATGTCCGGGTGGAGGGTGAGCTCGAGGGACAACATCGAAGATAAAATTTGTTTTTCGAACACCTGCGGGATTAACATCAACATTGATGCTGTTCATCACTACCTGCAATCCAATCGTCCCGCCGTGCTTTTCTTGGCGGAGACAAAAATCTCAGAGTCTGCACCGATTAACCATCTTAACTTCCCAAACTACGAGGTGCACTCCAATCTGAGCAAGAACGGGGGAGTTGTGGCTTTTGCCCGCAGCAGTCTTTCCTGCTCCAGAGATGTTTCTTTGGAATTAGACCGGAAAGACATTCTGTGGCTTCGCCTCAACTCAAAAACATCACCCAAGTTTATTTGCTGCCTTTATCGCTCTCCCTCGGACCATAACTGGGATGACCTACTCGAATACCTCGCCGTCCAGATCGACTTCCTGAACATCAATCATCCCGCTTCAGAGGTAGTTCTTTTCGGTGATTTCAATGCCCATAACGAGCTTTGGTTGGGCTCAAACAAGACCGACGCAGCAGGTCGTGCAGTCGAAGCGTTCGCTCTTACCCAAGGGCTGACTCAGCTGGTGACGCGTCCTACTTTTTTCCCCCGCGTCTCGTCACACGCCAGTAGCCTGCTGGATCTCTTTCTGACCACGCATCCTGCCCCTTACAGCACTGCTGTGCTGTCGCCCCTGGGTAACTCAGACCACGGTGTTGTGGAGGTTAGGTTTCGGTCAGAACCCGCTGTGGCAGCAGAAACTCGTACAGGCCGCACAACTTGGCATTACGGACATGCCGACTGGGAGGGGCTCAGACATTTCTTCTCTAGCTTTCCTTGGAAAGATGTCTGTTTCACTGACGCGGATGCATCGGCTGTCTGTTCTTCGATAACCGAAATTATCCACGTTGGAATGGAGGAATACATCCCTCACACAGTGAAAGTGCCTAGACCAGGGTCCAACGGCTGGTTTAACAAATCGTGTGACGCTGCTCGCCAGCAGAAGATCAAGGCACACAGAACCTTCTTACAAAACCCCACTGTAGAGAACAGACAAGCCGACGTTGAGTCCAGAAACAAATATAAAGCAGCGGTTCGCAATGCCAAAAACCAGCATGATGTAAAAGTTAGGCACAGGGTAATGTCGCAGCGCAATGGTAGTCGATCTTTCTGGACGCTGGCCAAGCAGATTGAAAAGAACTTCTCACACAAGTAGCCTTCCACCACTCATGTGTCAGGATGGAACTATTGTATTCAACTCAAAGGCCAAGGCGGAAGTGCTATCCAAGATCTTTGCTGCCAACTCCACCATGGACGTCCCCCCCAACGCCCAAGTGCCGTCAATTCAAAGGGTTCCCTACACTATGCGGGAGGTATCATTCAGGCCTAAGACTGTAAGACGAGTGCTCTTGTCGCTCGACATCAACAAAGCTTCTGGTCCGGACTTGATTCCTGCCATTGTACTGAAGAGGTGTGCACCGGAGCTTGCTCCAGTTCTTTCGCGTCTCTTCCAGATATCTTATGAATCCTTCCCAGAAAACTGGAAATTTGCTCATGTCCAACCCATCCCAAAAAAGGGATCTGAGACCGACCCTTACAACTACAGACCTATAGCTCTGCTTTCTGTTTTAAGTAAGGTGATGGAGAGGTGCATAAATCGCGAGCTTCTGGACTACCTCGAACGTCACGGCTTGATTAGCGACAGGCAGTATGGTTTCCGGCACCAACGATCCACAGGGGACCTCCTAGCTTACGTCACTCAATTGTGGAGTAAACTCATCCAGTCTTATGGTGAGGCTCATGTCGTTGCTCTTGACATCACGAAAGCGTTCGATCAGCTGTGGCACGCTGCCCTCTTAAGCAAACTTCCATCCTATGGCCTCCCAGAAAAGCTTTGCAGATGGGTGGCTGACTTTATCTCTGGCCGCAAGATATCCGTCGTAATTGACGGGTTCTCCTCTTCATCCCACAACGTCAACGCGGGTGTTCCCCAGGGATCGGTCTTGGCTCCGACACTGTTCCTCTTACATATCAACGACCCCCTTTCCTGCACGATCAACCCAATCCACAGCTTCGCTGATGACAGCACTCTACATGCAGGAATTCAGAGTGACAAGCTGATCTCTGCCGCTGAGTTGGAAAAAAGAAGACTAGCGATGACTTCCTCTCTGACAAGAGACCTGGAGGCTATCACTGCTTGGGGACGCAACAATCTTGTACAGTTCAATGCTTCCAAAACGCAGTACTGTACTCTGACGAACAAGAAGCGTCCCTGCGCTCACCCGGTTTTGATGGAATTTCGAGTTCTGCCAAAGAGCCAGATAAGGCCTAGCCTGGAGTATTGCTCGCACGTTTGGGGTGCTGCCGCCCCGACTACATTATCCATGCTCGATGCTGTCCAGAGGAGGGCGGTCCGACTGATCGATTACTCTTCTCTAACAGACAGTCTCGGGACTCTCTCGCATCGGCGGGCTGTCGGCGATCTGGCTCTTTTCTACCGTTACACCAACGGGCTTTGCTCCTCGGAGCTCTCTTCCATGATGCCGTCGCGCGATGTGCCTGCCAGACAGACCCGCCTAACTTTGGCGTCCCATCCTAACCGTGTCGAACTTCGTACATCCAGAACCGGCCGATACGACCGCTCCTTTGTCCCAAGGGTGTCGAGATTGTGGAATAATCTACAAGAGGGGGCTTTTCCCAGTTCTATTAACCTTAGGCAGTTCAAAAATCGTATTAATAAAAGTTCTTTGGAATCATCATAGCAGCCGCGGTGTTCCGGCATTTGGGCTTCTGCCTGCGCGGCTGCTTCGATATATAAAAAAAAAATGTAGACGAAGCACTTGAGAGTACAACTTGAAGCTCGTCATAACAAAATCTATGCAGGAATTATCAATTTTCGCTGATTGCAGCGCCATGTCTGTGTCAGGCCGAGAACTTTTCACTTTATCCTCGTGTCTTGAGCCATTGGTATATGTGTTACTAACAACATTTGGTCGTTTTACTTCCCACACCTACTGGCAAGGAAATATAAGCGCGAAAAATTTGGAGAATGAGATATATGATTTTTGGATGTTAAATGTCATAATGTCATCATATGTCATATGTGTCGGTCGGACTGTCTGTCCGCTGATGTTTGGACCGCATATAACTTGGTACCCTACTGTTCGGATTTGGATTAAATTTTCACACAAGGTCAAGTCATCGTTGGTTGTCAGAGCGGTCCGTGGGACAGTTTGTAAGTCTGTCAGGTCTGGTAACCCAGAAACCAGACAATTTTAAGGAAAAAAGGGAAGGAAAGAAGAACGAGAGCAAAGGGAAAGAAGAGAATCTTTTAGGATAGGCAGCGTTTAGGCATTGTTAAAATCACTTCACAGATTTTGATATGGTATAAAAATATTCGATTGTTTCTAAAGATTTTGTCAAAATGCTATAATTTTGGTTGTTCTAAGTTCACGAATTAATTTTGATTACAGTGCGAGCCGTGCCCTTTTGTGCTTGCGAACTCGACTGTGTAGTCCACTGACTCACGCAACAGAGGGTTGCTGTGCGATTCCGCTAGGCTATAGCGTCGCTGCACCTGTTGCCTAATGTAGTCCTTTAGGTAAGCGATATCGAGGTCTCTATGTAGAGTTTCGTTAGAGACATACCATGGGGCGTCAGCAATAGTGCAGAACCTGCAGATTTCGCATATGTGTTTTAGCAATAAAACACCAAGCCATACATACGTTAAGTCATTGCTGGTCTTATAGAGTCGAATCTTGTTAATCAAACTTAATTTTGAACGTTTACATAATAATGGGTAAAGCTGTCGAAACGTAATTTAGAATTTAGTTTTTAGCGCTTCTATATGGTTCCGCCAAGTCATCTCTTCGTCCAGAATGACACCGAGATACTTAGTGGAGGATTCCCATGGTATACGAAGTCCATTCATTGAAACTTCAGACGGAACTAATTTTAATTAGCCACCGATCCGCCCAATCTAATACTTAGTCCACCGCACTTTGCAGCCTGTCATGGACTAGGTCACCACGACTGAGCCACCAATGCAGTATCGTCAGCATAGATATAGACTGCACAGTTGCTGGGACCAGGGACGTCAGTGAGTAAACGATAGGTCCGAGGACCGAACCCTGAGGGACGCCGGCTGTACTCAACCGTGTTGTCGACAGGACATTGTCAATTTTGATCCGAAATTTCCTACCTTCAAGGAAGGATTTCAGTAGTTTTAGAAGCCAAAAAGGACAGCCCTTTTGGATTAGTTTACTTTCGTTAAGGGTGAATCCTCTGGTTACTCGTTCTACCAGCCTAACCTCATGTAGCTCCGTACTATGTTCAGGCCGAAAACAGAATTGCACGTCAGGAATCACATGGTTTGACACAAGATTATCACTATGCCAAGTTTTTGAAAATCGGTCCAGTGGCAGCGGAGCTAGGGCAAAGACACCGCCAAAATTAAAATCTTTCAAACTTTGTTTTTTGACGTCTCACAGGCTCCTGATCATTTTCAGCAAAAACTTTTGTATGGGTTGAAAATCGAGGGTTGGGTGTTGTAGGGGGTAGGAGAATGTACATTTATCTCATTTTGTTGGCGGTAGTATGTTTATACGCGTCTAACCCCAGAAATGTTTAACACATCAAAGATTTTCCCTTCCTTTTCTCTTATAACTTAGAAGGCTATACAAAGACGAGACACGCGGTCGGTCGGGACGATGCCATGCAACGAATTCTTTCATACGCTGAGCTCTGCCTTGCGCCTGATAACGTCGTCGACAGAGATGTTATAATACAGTGGCTGGTACTTATAACATGTTGGACTGGTAAAGTTTAGTGGTATAGCAGATGGTCAGTACTTAGGGCAGGAATGGGGACTATGGAGGATATATATAATTGTATATGCGCCTGTTTGGCTGACTTGAACCATTTAATTTTTATACATTTTACATGTTTGTAGCCTAGCTAAAAGAGACTAACTGGGGCCAAACATAATTTTTTATGAACTGAAGGCAGCGTTGCGTGGGAAGTGCAGAGTCAACCTGATTCTGTACCCTGCACCCTGAACTCTACGCTTGTAAAAAAAATCTCAACTGCCTCGAATTAAAAAATATATATAAAACACTTACCTTTTCTTTGTTCGCCAGATCAGCTTGCAGGCCCCTGATAGTCGCCAGAAGGTGAGTTTCTTCTTTACCATTTTCTTGTTTTTTGGACGGAACCACTTTCCTCACTGGATCGGTTTGGGTAAAGACGGTGAACGTTTCTTTCTGCGGTATCTTCTCTTCTATCACAGTTTGAGTATATACGTCGTACGTATCGCTTTTCATTTTCAACTGATTCTTCAAATCGCTCACGTGCAACTCCAAATCTTCGATGTGGTTTTCGTACTTCGCTTTCATTTGGTTGAATTTCTCTTGGATTTCCATGAAGACTTTAGAATTTTGAGATTCTCTGTTGAACTGTTCTTGCTCTAGGGCTTTGATCCTATCTTCGAGAATCTTCCTGGCGGTTATACTAGAGTCAGTAGTATTTTCCTTTGCAGCAACTATGAGTGCTGATACAGAGTCTGGATGCTTCCTTGCGATAATCCTTTCCATTTCTTTGATTTGTCTGTTCAGGTCTTGGATGCATCGCGAATCTTTTTCATTCTGAAGCTTCAAACTTTTAGTTTGCAGTTTTTCGATCTCCAACAATTTATTCAAGTTCATTTCATTCTGCAACAATTTATCTTTAGTCTGTTGTAAGTTCAAAAGTTCTCCTTTGTACTTATCCAAAGTGGTATCTAACTCTACGACTCTTCTCTCTAGATGTTTATTAGAATTACTTAGTTCTTCGTACGAATTTTTTAGTAGTTGATGGGTCTTGTTTATGGTATCTAGCTGCAACTGTAAAGCTGTTTTCGCCTCTCTAGAGTCTTTGAGGTCTTCTAAGGCCTTTTCTAATTCTAGGTTTATTTCTGGGGAAGATACGGTTCTAGTGCTTAGTGCTGCTTTGGTTTGCTCGAGTAGTGCGTTAGTTTTTTGTAGTTCGATCTGTAACAAATAAGTAACTGGTTAGTAACAGTACAGTATATTATAAGGCTCATACAATAATATACATTTTTATTTTTGTTCCCTGCTGTTACAAGGGAACGAAATTTCATACACGTAGATTAGGAAACCGAATGTGACCATGAAAAAATTCTGAAGTGTTGTGTAACTCCGCAATAGTTTTTGAAAATTTTCTATAGCATGACTCGATAATACTACGCCAAATTTTTATTTCCGTTCCCTGTTGTTAATCGAATGTATACCTCATCTCCTCCAAACATTTCCCCTTAATAAGGCGCAGTGACACTTTTTGAAAAATATTTGACCGCTTTTGCTCAAGATAAACTACATACAGTATAGCTACTTCATTTTGTCTGTATAAGCAACTGTAATATATTCAACGATTCTACAAAGCTTTGGAATTCATTTGTTGTGGATAAACAAAATAACGTACAATAACCTCCTTTGGTACGAATATATTAAACTGACGTGACTTAACAACTGAATTTGTCCATAAGAGACAAATGTTATACATTACTGTATTTCTTTAATACGAAGAATTCGAATTTTTTTAAAGTGGACGTACCAGAACCAGCTTTAGTGGATCTACTAATATTATCTTCGGATGTACAACCAAATGTGGTAGGAAAGTTATCAAGTTATTTTAGGAAAAGTCCGTCGAAGGACGACTATTAAGGTTTTTTTAAAAATCTGTCTCCAAAAGGACTTTTTAACTAGGTCCAAAACCCATCAGAAAATCGAGAAATATTGAAACGGAAATCTCCACTGCACCGATTTTAAAAACTTGCAAAGTTATAGTAACCAACTTTGTTTAAAAAATCAAAGTCCAAACGGTAATTTCAGGGTTATAGAGACATCCAGGCCTACCGAACAAACAAATATACCCATAGACAGACCGACGGTAATGATAGACATACTTTTCGTAATGACGATGTCATATATCATATCCCCATTTCGAAATTTGTGCAGGCGCGGATCCATGGGGGGCAACCGTGCTATTGCCCCTCCCCCAAAGCCTCAGACTTGCAGCGAAAAATGAGAAAAAGGGACAGCAAGAAAGGCAGAGGGAGAGCATAGAAGCTTGGAAAAAGTATGTATTTGATACTTACGCTAGGGTGGAGGTTAAAGACCTCAACTTTAAAGGGTGTCTACTATACGTGTGGACAATCTGTCATTTCATATGACATTACTGCGTGGGGACAGGCTAGTGAAAACTCTAGAGTGTTTGTTTTACAAAAAAGAATCAATCGCCTTTTTAAAATACGGTCTAGATCCTCTTGCCGTGAGATATTTGTCAAACACATTGACATGCATGCAGGGTATCCAAGTTAAGGATCCTATGCAAAGGAATCTCAATACCTGTAACCAGCTTAGGTTAAATCAGGGAAAAGTTGCGTTGTTTGGGGCGTATTTCCATGCTGTTGAGAAACTCGTAAAAATGCCATGGCTTACTGGGAAAAACTAAAATTTGGTCAAATCATTTTTATTTTTTTCCGACTTTAATTGAAAAATTACTAAAAAACTAGCGAATGGTTAGTTTTTGAGAAACCATCACGAACTTTATTTTTTTATATGGTCCGAAAAAAAGTACGCTCTGTATCTATCATTTTTTATAATAATTTAACGATGTATCACATGTTACATTTATTTTCTTGGTTATAAGGAAAAATGCGTATTTCTGAATATATTATTATTTCAAGTAGGCATTGCAAACAAACGCTTGATTTGCCAAGTATTGTTATTATTGTGTATTGTTAATATTGCTTTATTATCTTCAAAGATTCCAGGCGGTCATTTCAGCAATGATGAAGAGTTCGTCATGCTGATGTGGTACATTTTGTGCCACAAAAATACTAAAAACACAGCAGAAATGTATCTTGATAAATTTCCCGAAAAAAGGCGGCCAAGCAAGTTCATTTTCTCACAGTTGGCTCGAAATTTAAATGAATATGGTTCATTCAAAAAGCCTGTCACGTCTCGAAAAACGGAATCTTTGAAGGAATCTCAAAATATTGTTTTACAATCAGTTTGCTGAGAGCTCTGATATACCAACAAGTTTCTCAACGGCATGTAAATACGCCCCAAAGAACGCAGCCTTTTCCCAATTCATACCTAAGATTCCCATGCATAGGACTCTTATCTTGGAGACCCTGCATACCTTTACAATCTCTTAAAATACATATATTGTTCAGCGCAGAAATGATTATCTTAAGCATACCGACCTCCATGACCACATCACTCGTAATAAAAATAACAGTTAGGCCTGTGTCTTATCATTTCACTCAAAATCTCCCAGCAGAGGTATACTTTTTTTTAACTTATTACCACCAGAGCTTAAAAACGTCAACTCCATAGGGCGTTTCAAAATACGTTTGCGGAACAGGGTTTCGGATAGTGCTTTTTATGACTTGGGGAAAATTTTTCACATACCATACTCCTGGTAGATCTTAATAAGTACATTACCACGTATGTATGTATGATATTGTTTTTTATGTTACCATGTATTGAACTTCATTTTATCTATATTTTATTCTCTCTCATATACCGACTTATTCAATGTCTACAATGTAAATCTAACTGGAGCAATAAATTAATCTGAAGGGAGGAAAAAGTGGAAAGAGAAAGAGGAAAATGAGAATGAAGTTGTGTCGTCTAGATTACAAAACTTCCGCGCCTTTGCCTCTTGGTGTGGAAATTAAAAAAAAACGTGATAAAAGACCGTAAATATAAAAAGATAATTGTGATTTTTTTCTTCAAACACTGAAACTTTTTTGTTTTGAATATGTCAAAAAAATATAATAATTTTTATTGGAACTGTCATGTGGCTGCATTTACTCTGCATAATTCAGAACGGCTGATTGCAGTCTACTCTCCTGAAACTGGTTTGTCTGTTTATGGTCGGACACCTCCGTCTTTCTAAGTGATAACGTAGAATGCGGCAATACCGATAAATAATATGCTTTTATGGTTGTTCACTATTAGCTGAGAGTCTCACAATGCAGGGCAAAATCACTGGCGTTCGTGCAACAACAAATAAGCATGGATATGCTTATGCACAGTCTGCGAAAATCAAAAGTTCGCCAATTTTGGCCTAACAGGACAAGGTTAAAAATGTTCGGGGTTTTGTAAAACAAGGTTTAAACTTTAATTTAGATACTTGGCGACCTCAAAAATTATGATATTTTAAGCATTGAATATACCATTTTTAGGGCTTTCAGCTTTAGAGAAAAGATAACGGACACCTTTTTTGTTCGGCATGATCCAAAAAATCCAAACAAATTGCCAGTCAAAATTTATTTAAAAACATAGTATAGGCTCTGAATTACCGTGCGGGTGTATTCAAAGCTTAAAAAATTATGGTAATTTAAATTAAAGTGGAAACCTTGCTCTACAAGGCCTTGGAAAGTATTTTGAGATTAGTTCATTTTAAGCTATCTCAAGTTTGTTTTCCAGACCAATATTGGCGAACTTTTGGTTGGAGTAAGACTTTAGCTTTTAGTTGATGTATAAACTCGCAAAGTATTTAAAATCATTATTAAAAAAAGGTAAATCCAACTGTTATGCTTTCTTATTGCGGAGAAATTCTAATTCTAAGCTTTAACACTGGATCATGTAAAAACCGATTATGCTGGTTAAATCACATAACACGTATATTTTTCTAGATTTTATAAAAACATCGTTAGAGATTTGATCACAAATGTTTTTTCCGCATCTAAAACAAGCCTGGTAACAATTCGTTTAAAATGCATTACGTAATGATAACAATAGCAATTGTCGATGATGTACTGTCTTCCATTATCTAATATTTTCCTCACGTTGTCTATATTATGTGTAGATAATATTTTTCACGACCATTAAAATACTAACACTGGAATTTTGTTTTCTTCTATAGGCTTTTGAATATTTCTTCCACTATACATAGCGAAATTAACCTTCTGTGAAGACGTGAACTATGTACATATCGAAAAATCTTTGTATAATGATAAAAAACTCTCTTTAAAATATCAAAAGTACCCCTTCACGTAAATCAACCATTGAATTCAAATTCAAGGCTATTTGTTTAGGTCTAAGATGTACTTTTCTCCACATAACCTCCGCACTATGTACAAGTTCCAGATAGGAGCTACCTCGAGTACTGCTCACATGTTTGGGATGCTGCCGCCGCGGCTACATTATCCATGTCCGTTACTGTTCAGAGGAGGTCTGACCGATTTATCGTTGGGCAGTCGTAGATCTGGCTCTCTTCTATCGCTGTGTTAAAGGGCTTTTCCCAATTCTACTAACCTTATATAGCTCAAAAGTCGGGTTAACAAGGTGTCTTTCAGCTGCTTACAGCAGCCTCAGTGACCTGGTGCCTAAGCGTCCGCTTCGGTAGGTATATATAAAACTACAACTTTGTTAGACAATCCACAAACGGCGAAATATACAAAGAGAACTACAAAAGTTTTGCAATACAGCTTTATTTATTGACTTCGTTCGTAGAAATTTCTACCACATTCACACATTTCCATCCGCCAAAACCAGTCCATAAACCAGCTCTGCCAAGTTTCACCCGGAAGTGCGACACACTCGATTTCCAAAGCCCTCAGAAGGTCCTCATCGCTAGAAAACCGTTTTCCTTTCAGCTTCATTTTCACATGCGGAAACAGTGCAAAGTCGCAGGGAGCACCATCTGGTCTGTAAGAAGGGTGCTCAATAATTTTCAGTCCAGTAGTGGACAAATACTCGGTGCATGCTTTGGCGCGGTGAGATGGAGCGTTGTTATTGACTTTGGCCGCAGGCTGTTCATAGACTCTATGACTTTAGGTAGGCACTGTTCCGTGTACCACTTAGCTGTGACTGTCTTCTGTGTGTCCAAAACGACACGCTCCACAATCCTGCGAAATTTGAAAAATACAAATATCATTTTTTGCTTAACAGATCGGGATTTTCTGACATAGTACGTCGAGTCTTCTGCTCTTCCGTCAGACTATGCGGTATCC